AATTGCTGTCTTCTTGTTCTTCCTTTCTTTGATCCTGTCCAGTGTTTCTATAGAGATCCATTCCTTGTGATGATGCTTCTTGGGGCCCAGAACCTCTTGACACGTTGAAGTTAATGCTCCCGTATTTAACCTTTGTTGTCCAGCTTCAGTCCAATGGGTTTCGCTGATTCCAAGTACTGCCAAGTTGTATCTCCTCATTTCCGTTGCTATTTGACTGGTCTTACCAGTTTCCCACATTGTCCGGACGTCCCATGTACCTATAAAAATTGTTGCTCTGGTTGTTAGGAGGAGCATCGTCCTCATGGCTTCCGAAGAAACTCGGCTTTCACCCTGAGGCGTCATATTTCTTCTAAATGAAGACCTTCTAACTCCGAGGGCAGAGTTTAAATGGTTTGAGTTATTTTTTCTGGTTAGCGTTTTCTTAGCGAGTTAGTTTTCTACGGGATTGGGTCGCTAACCCCATGCTCAACCCTCCTACTTTACCCGGGCTTTGGACCAGCAGTAACTCTAGGAGAGCTACAGTCGGAGTTAATTTAGTACAAAGTTATAGTAATTTTAAAATGATTAGCTATAAAATCAAATCCAACTGCCTAAATCCTAAACCATCATACCCAAACCTGAAGATCATGGATTTGCTTCTCTGTGTTTTTGTGGTTGTGGGACACTGAAGATTACAACACTAGGACAAGACGACTACTTACTTCCCAATGTTTTTTAATGCTACGTCAATTGATAATAATTAAGGACGGAAAACTACCTAAAAACTGTGCTAATTTTTACAAAATATTATGAACTAAAATAATGATAATAGTATATATTAATCTGAAAATAATAAGACAACGTTAATAATGATTAATCATTAAATGAGCAATCACATTTTTGAACAGTAAGGTCAACTATTGTGATCATTATAATATAGAACTAAAAACTTTATTTAATCAATCCGTAATAAAATACAACTATAAAATAATCATAAAATATTTCCATTGCATAAATAATTCACTAGATTACATTAGATGTGTAAAAAGTTGTAAGTTACTGTGTATGTGTGGTGTTTGAATGAACCAGTGATTTCTTTGTACTTGTTGAATGCTTAATTTCGAATTCCAAATACAATACATTTGTTCGTACTTATCTAATACTTCTTGATTCAATTGCGTTATTTCTGGGATTCTTAGTTTGTACTATAATTCAAATACTTCCAATTATCTCATCATCGTTTATTTATTCTTTAATAATTCTTTTATATGTTTAACTTCATGATTATTCATTTTGAATATCTAATAATGAATATTACTAACTTAAACATTGAGACATCTAAAATAGATTATAACATAATTATCATTATGATTGATTTGAACATTTCAGTTTACCATCAACTGGAATATTGAATAATTAATATCTATTGGTTAATATCTATTTATTTATGTCATTTATAATTTGTAAAACAGAAATAGAAATAGAATAAAACTAATAAACTATCAGAATATAATCACTGACATTCATCTCACCTTTAATTACGACATTAATTAGTACTGGAATCTATTTCTTTTCTTTTTCCATTTTTAAAACAGAAAAAATTACTTTAATTTAATCAAACAATTGTTCACTAATCATTAGATTAATATTTAAATGTAGTGAAAAGATTTTAATTGTTTTTCTTTTTCTTTTCCTTTCTCTTTTTTTATCTTTTAGATTATAACTTAAAAGTGTCAATCTCTATACAAGAACAAAACAAAAACAAAAACAACTTATTCTCTGAATATACACATCTACAAAACAAAAATTACGAAACAATTAATCACGCATAAACATACATTATCATCTTAACTAATTCATATTGCTAATCACTAATAATCAAGTTATATTAGTTTTTATTTAAAGTAATGTAATAATTTAGGTCAATCAGATGAAATATAATGGGCTTCTTTAAATAGGGAATAAATATTCTACTTGACTGCATACCAGAGAATAATTTAATTAATCAATTAATTTAATAGACTATAATTTCATCTTTTTCCCGTTCACTTCAAATAGGATAACTTAATTAAACTTGCCTAATTTGATTAATTTTTTTTTAATTTTCTTTTTTTAATTACGTTTTCTTTTCTCTCTATAGAATAAATATTAAAAGTGAATATCAGATTATGTTTATATGTTTAGTTGACTTATTATCACAGTAATAGTGGAATATTTTATCAATGTTAACAAAATATCTTCATGTATATGAAATCTCCTTGTTTTAAGTATTAACAATAGAATAAACATATTATTAAGAAATTAAAAGTAATTCAAGCATTAAGTGATTGTAAGAGAGTTTAGTACTGATATTGGGTGTATAATATTATTAATTGATACTCAGTATATTCATACTGTCAAAATGAGTATTGAAAAAATATAACCCTTATTTCAGAAGGGGGTATTATGAAGATTTTAGTAATTTAATAATTGAATTCATAAGTTCAAGATGAAGAATGATAGGTTCTGGGTTTGAATCCCGAGGACGGGATCGTAGATGCGCATTGCTTAGGAGTCTTATTACTAGGACGTATTAACTGTTTAGTGCTCCCAAGTTTTCCATGGTAGTCTAGCTTTAATTGACTTATAAATTCAACCATTAATCCTTATAAGTTTGAATATCGATATCTAACTTTATTCATTGGATACATTAATACAAATAAGTTGTGAGCCAACATAAATCAAATTTAAATTTGCGTAACGTGAATTTGTCTAGGAAAAATAATCGCACAAATTTACTGGACAAAATAAAAATGTTTAAAAATAATGCCTATTATATTCTAATTTAAATGAAAATTATTTATCATAATGATTTAGGATTGTTATGCTGAATCATAGATGAAGTCGATGGTATGTAATCTGATGAATTTTGAAGCAGAGTTGTATTGAATTGTAGTGATCTACAATATTTGAAGATTATCTAGATGACAGATTCATTTAAATCTACTAAATTTTATGTCTGTGTAAGCCATGTCTATAACTCAACAGTATGAATGTGGTTGAAACAACATGTAATATATGTTACAACATCTAAAGAGTAGTTTAATCATACAAATATAAACTGTAGAAAGACTGAATAATAAAATCGTGATTAAGTAATGTAATATGGAAATTATGTAGCTTATAAGAGGTTTGTTATTTATATGATAAATTAGCTCAGTGATTTTTACACTTATCTTTGATTATAAACCCATGTTACACGATCTACTATCCAGCCAATGAGATCTAATATTGAGTTAAGTGTTTGGACAATATTATATTCCGTACTTTAAGCTGGATATATTAGATGGGACAGGAATCAAACTTATTTTAAATTTGATTCTCAATGACTTTTATCAAAATCACTAGCTCTTCAGTCAGAAAATGTAGTTGCTTTTTCAGAAACTTAAAGCTGGTTTTTCATGAATGCTGTCACCGAATTTTTATTTATGACATGACTTTATAAGCATTAGAAAAATAAACACACTATAGAATGTTCTAAAACTATAATTTATATTAACCGTTATATATTCTCAAAATTAATAATGCTGTATAACCACTTTACTTACTTACTTACTTACGCCTGTTACTCCTTAGGGACCATAGGCCACCGACCAGCATTCGCCAACTCAATCTGTCCTGGACCTTCCTTTCTAGTTCCATCCAATTCTTGTTCATTTTTCTCATGTCTAGCTCCATTTCCCGGCGTAATGTGTTCTTTGGTCTTCCTCTCCTCCTTCGACCTTGAGGATTCCATGTGAGGGCTTGTCTTGTGACGCAGTTCGGTGCTTTCCTCAATGTGTGTCCTATCCACTTCCAGAGCTTCTTCCTGATTTCTTCCTCCACTGGGATCTGGTTTGTTCTGTGCCACAATAGGTTGTTGCTAATAGTGCTCGGCCAACGGATCCGAAGTATTTTGCGTGGACAACTGTTAATAAACACCTGTATCTTTTGAATGACGGCTTTTGTAGTTCTCCAGGTTCCCGCCCCATAAAGTAGAACTGTCTTGACATTTGTATTGAAAATCCTGACCTTGGTGTTGGTTGCCAATTGTTTTGAGTTCCAGATGTTCTTCACTTGTAATAAACACCTGTATCTTCTAGGTATAACCATCTTGTTTAAAAGATATCTACAGATCGTCATGGTCTAAGCATTATTTATTAAGTATGTTACAATTATCCCTTGTCTTCTATGAAATTTGATAACTTTGAAGATTATTGAAATGAAAGTCTGTAGAACCAGTTTAGCCTTCTCCATGAATAAATGTTAACTGAAAAATCACTGAAAACTAGTGAAATGTTAATTTATTGGCACTTCTACAAATCTGTTATGTCAGTAAATCAAGATATCCATCCTTATAGTTCGTTTCCTTCAACCTTTTTTCCAATATACTACTGAATATCTAATTATTTGAACACTTACTATTGCGTAACTTTAACAACTTTTAATAAATGTTATTCTAATCTCTATTTTCCCGAGCTTTTAAGCTACTTCCTTATTGTGAAACATTACTTCAAGTCTTTGTTATTCGTATCACAACCAGAACATCTATCATCCTACTGTTGGTTCATACTCTATAATCATTTCAAGTTCTTTAATTTATTTTGTTGTTATCATTGACTTATAAACTACCTTGAGTGGTTTAATCTTTTTATATATGCTTATAAATATCACTGTATATTGGAGTAAAGTCTAATGAGTATCTAATTGAAAACAATATTGTTCCTTTACATTCATTGTTTGTAGTAGAGATGTATTGCTATTTTTCATTTTCAATTTTAAGGATTTGTGTTGATTGTAGTATTTTTAATGTCAAATTTATGAGTCAATCTAAGCTAGACAAAACAGCCATCCAGTGCTTTCAGGTTTTTAATCGTGATTTAGCTTAGATTGACTTATGTATTCAATTTTATCATGTTTAGATAGATCCTTATTTAAATAATCAATCGGTTCATGATCTCAATCAAAAACTTAATATTCTCCACAACCCCTAAACTGATAATGTTAGAGAAGTTTTAAAAATTCCAATAAACAATATACAATATGATAGATTGTAATATATATTTAATTCAAAATAATATTCATAAGGGAAGTTTTATAGGTTTATAGTTTATTTTTCCTAAGGTTTACTCAACTAATTATAATCTATCTATATCTGATCAAATTGTATTCTTTAGTAAAATTACATATTTTAATTTTAATTTTAATAATTGAAATCATGAGTCAATTGAAGCTAGACCATGATGGAAAATCTGGAAGCACTAGATGGTCGAAATTTTTTTTATTTTTTATTTTCTTTCTAACCAATCATATAACAATCCGTTTACATTCACTATTCTTATTTAAAATATATTCTGTTATCCAATTAAATATCAATAAGATGGGTATGAAAAAGACGAGAATATTTTCATAAATTGAAATATTATAGATTAAGATCTATTTTAAGAATAAAATTTAAATAATTTTTAATATAATGTCAGATAAATTTAGTATTAGTGAAATATTGAAATCAAATTATAATACACAAATTACATTAAATGATATACATAAACCTATAACAACAATTACATCATCAATACCAACAATTCATAATCATAATTATTCAATGACATCATCAATAATAACAAATCATTCATTGAATTCATGTATATTAAAAGATTTTATCATAGATTCTAATATAAAACAACCATTGGAATTATTAATAAATGATAATAATTATAAAAGTATTGAACACATTTTAAATTCTGCACAATTTAAACAATTTATAAATATATTAAAATCCTTTAAATATTCAACTAATAATAATCAATTATTTGATGAATTAAGAACAAAATATATAAAAGAATATAATATAATAAATCCTGTAATTATGAAATATTTAACATATATATTTACTAATAATTCAAAAGATTTCATAAATGAATTAACCAAAGATAATATTATTGGTAAGTGATTAAATTATTTCGATTTCAATTGATGTTGTTTTACTTGTATCTTTCCATTGTTATTTAGGATTGCAATTGATCATTCTCTTATTGGTGTATGTGCATACTGTGCGTATTGCCTCAATATTGTCTTAAGTTCTAAGCATTTTAAGCAAAGATGGATAGTGGCTAGCAGTGGAATCCAGGACGCGCGTTTCGCCTTATTCGGGACTCTTCAGTAGCTGAGTGGATAACGCGATGGCGTTTGAGGTGGATGATGCTGGATTCGAGTCCTGGGGTGAATATCAACTGTGAGATGCAGGTACATCCAACTGACGAGTCCCAAATGGGACAAAACGCGCGTCCTGGATTCCACTGCTAACCACTATCCATCATTGCTTACAAAAAGCTTAAGTTCAACAGTAGATATTTGTAAATCTTATCATTTTTTTATAGATCACTTACAATTACAATTATTACCGATTAAATTAATCTTAAAGTTCAAAATCTATTATCATGCAGAAATTCTTAAATTCATCATGATTCAGAAAGTTGTATTATGTGATAAACAGCTAAATTAAAGGTATATTTCAATCAAAAGTTTGTTGGTAATCTTATAAGTTACAAAATAATCATTGATGAATGTTACTAATGTGGACTGAATTAATACATAATTTTTTTCTTAAATAGTATTAGATTGTAATCAAAGCTGAATGAAATCAGATATAAAATTAAAGACATCTAATTTTATAGTGATATTTAGAATTACCTTTCTATTGACTATTTTTATAAATGATCAAACTCAGAACCTTCAGTCTTCATGATTATCACAATCTAGTCGAAATGATTATCATGCAATATTGAAGATGAATCAAAGTTGGAAATTCAAATTACTGGATATTAAGCCATTAACTTAAATGTTACTCACTTGTCACGAACCCTGAAGATCCTATATTTGATCCCTAGTGAGGTTTTGGATAAGATTGATGAGATATCCCATACTAGAGCGAAACAACTGTTTAGGAATACTTGGTTTAAAACGGTTGTCCAACCGATGACATGTAATAATGCTGAAGTACTATATCCAGAATTTCTTCCATGTTCAATAGTTCATTGAGCTTATTACTTACTCTCTAGTCCTGAAAAATGAAACTTATTCATTAAAAGTTAAAATAGACCATACATCAAAATAATCACAACACAAATAGAATGTACATGTAAAACATACCACCCAAAAGGATATTATAAGCCCTACACCATCATCCTTGGCAAGACTAATGACTTTGAAAGCACATAACATGTCAGATGATTTCAGTTTACAGATTAACGATTCCATAACATCAGATGAGTTTTGTGGATATTATAGTAATTTAAATGGTTAAGATCATAAATCATTTGAAGCTAGACCACCATAGAAAACCTGGAAGCACTGGACGACAGTTTCGTCCTATTGTGGGATTCCTCAGCAGTGCGCATCCACGACCTCGCCCTCTACGAGATTCGAACCCGGGATCTACTGGTTTCGCACGCGAGCACTTAACCACTAGACCACTGAGCTGGCATCCAACGGTGTTAATGTCTAACTTCAACTAATCCACGAAATCGAGCGACACATCCACCACTATCTTCAGTGAGTTACTATCTCACAACAGACCTGGTTGAACTCCACTGAGCAGTACTTCTCACTAAAACTCCAGGATATACCTCCTGAAGCCAGTCACTAGTGAGCATATGTTGATTAATATCAGATGGGTTTTCAGGTCTAGCTTCAACTGGCTCATGATGTTAACCATTGAGATTCTATAACCGTTTATCTTTAGCTACTTATTCATGGTTTATGTATGATATTGAATTGTTAAACATCTGAATAACAATATATAGTTAAATAATTGTGTCTAAATTTTGATTAAATTGCCATAGGCTTGTATTTTTATCGGGATTAAGAGAAACTGAATTAAATAAATGTACCAAATCCCACTACAGTAGCAGTTAAAAAGTCCGATATTTTCAAATTTAAGGAAAATGAACCATGTTTTATTATTCATAGGATAATGTACTAAGTTGTGTATCAAATTTATTATGCACCAATCAGTGTTATTAAGTAAATGCTAATAAGCATCATTGAAATGTTTAATACAAAATGTAGTTATCATAGTACATCACGCCATTGCTCGTAATCTTGAAACCACACCAGTGGGCGCTTATCATTTTAGTTTTTGGATTATTAGCATATATTTTATGTTTGTCTCAAACGTTATAGTCAAGAATATTAATTTATCTAATAATATTTACGTAGAACCAAGACGAATTGGACATCCTTATCAGAGTAGAGTACCTAGAAAACGGAAAAAACCAAGAGCTTCATTCACAAGATATCAAGTAAGTGAAATTGTTATCTTGTTGATAAAATAACTTTTAATTGCCTTGATAATTCATAGAAAATGAGATCTTTTTTAGGGAATTATGTTTTTAAAAGTACATACACAGCCTAAACTTGTGTATTATAATGTTGTGCAGTCTAGAATACCTACTTTGACGATTTGTCTTAAACACATTTCTGTACACAGTCACATGTGTGAATGTAGAAAATCAATATAATGATAACTTGCATTCACTACATAACAGATAAGAACTACAACGCGTTAGATTTGTTGAAAAAGTTCCTGAGATTATTTTTCAGTGGAAATACTGATAATTAATGGAATACATATACCTATACATGAAATTGATCAGTAGTTCTTATTGAACCCATATCCTATTTGTTTTTATTTGGACAAGCCTGACCAGTTAAGGATGAATTACAACAAGACTTTCTATTTTTGCTTTCAACTCCTAAACAGCTAAACTTGGTGTATTCTTTGTTGAAACACTTAGATTAGTGACCATATTGGAAATTGGAAAAATTAGATCAATGCACCAACAATTAGACAAGAATGAGAATGATTAACACTCTGATTGGTCAGTATATGTCATTATTAGTAATATTTACTTCAATTCTTTTCCTCGCAACTAGGACACTTTCCATTTCAATAAATTCATATTAATATCTGTTTGGAAGCATAAATGATAACCGTACTTCACGGATTTTCACAGCTGGTTCTTATTCTTGTCACTTTGTTAAGGATTTCAATATAACATTTTATAAGACAAGGTGATAAACGTCTTCCAACTACTTTGATTAGTGAAGCTTAAAATAATGTACACTTGCTTGACTGCTCAAGGCTGGAAACTGATTTCAAAGGTATCTGTTAACATATAAAACTTGAAATATTGAAATAATTGGTCATAGTTTTGCTGGTCGATGAGTCACAGACAAAGGCGGCTAAAATGGGAGTTTTAAAAAACCTATTTCAAAATATACATGAATGTATTTTAAAATGTGATTTTGGTATCGTAATAGTTCGTGTCATTTCATGGACCATTTCTTTTTATTTTGTTTAAGAACAGCTTTTTATGGTTTTCATTGTGATTTATGGGGAATTTCAAGGCTTAAGTTTCCTCGTTATGGTTGTACATACTATTTCTTCCTGTGTTATGAGAAATTTATCTTCATCTTCTAGAATACGATGTTATCAATTGCTGACAAGGATTTTCTACACATTTCAGTAATATAATTTGAGCTCAATAATTTTATAGAAGCGCTTTCCTTATTGTTCTAGACAACCTAATCACTGTAAACTTCCAAAAGAAGTTAAAAGTTAGTGGTGTTTATTTCGAACTATCTGCTAATAGTATAAATCAATGTTGAAGTGAATTTTTAGTACCTTTTTAATTAGATTTGAAAGATGTAAATTTTTTGGTAAACTTCGCTTGGAATAAATGGGAACATCAGTTGAAAGAATTGAGGGAGTAATATGGTACTAGAACTGGGTTAGTTTCTAGGTTCAGTAACCCCAGTCGAGTACTAGTTAATTCACACTTCCAACTCATTTTATAGGCTTATTTTAGTGCGACCAACATTATTTAAATAAATTGATTTCAAAACTTAACGTATATATTAATTATTGTTTATACTTTTCACATTCTTTTCTCAAATCAACTACGTATAATTTAGATAAGTGGTTTATTTTCGGTTATTTTCTCTGACTTGTTAACAGGTGACAGCACTTGAAAGAAAGTTTCGTCAACAAAAGTACTTGGCTTCGACAGAGAGGAATGAACTAGCAAAGTTGTTGAAAATGACTGATGTACAAGTGAAAACATGGTTTCAAAATCGTCGAACGAAATGGAGGTCAGATGATAATCGTAGTATGGTTCTTAATGTTTGCTCACTTAGTATGTTACAAAATATAGTTGATTTCAAATATCGTGAGTGGTCAGTTATTTAAGTTCCGGGAGGAAACTTCATTTAGATAATCAATTTATTCAAAACGTCTTAAATTGTACGGTTAATCTTCTATGATGAATAATACTTTTTCAAATAGTTTCGTTAACGTGCACAGTAAAGTTATCTGTAACACACCCAAAGAACAGATGATAAATTGTGGGAAAGGATATATGTCGTAGTGTATCTTTCTCTGAATGTTCAATACGTGTGCAGTATCTTGTAATTCCCGTTCATTTAGTGTGTAAATACTATATATAAGAACATCATTTTCATTGAGAATTTTATGTCACTCTAGAACTTTCACTTCGTTCGCTTTTTTATCTGGCATGTTGAGATGCGCTACGCTCGCTTGTACACCAAAGACATATGTAGATAGCCTTAGATGGTTAAAATAAATTTTACAATGAAATTATACTCTTATATACGATACTAACATTTTAAATAGAAAAAAAAATGCTTGGTTATGCTAGATACTGATAGCACTTTTATTAGAAAGGGATGGTTATTCTCACACCAGATTGCCTTTCTGAGATAAAATTTTAAATCACATTTATCTGGAAATTCAACACAGGGATGCAAAATGCTTAAACCATTTGAATTTAACTGACTAGCTTGAACTGGATTGTTCATAAAACTTTACCAAATGATAAATCATCAGACTTTATCAAGTCTCAGTAGGCGAAGTTAACAAACCTTTGTCATTGTTATCTAAGTAACAATTATGTAAGATTCTTGTATCCAAGATCACAACTGAAACCCAAACCCAGTGACTTCCATTAAAAACTATATTTGCAATATGATTAAGTAATTAAAATATTATCAAATCATGCAGTTAATAAATATTTCATATTTTCTCAGTTTTATGGGAATCTGTTGCTCGTAAGAAAGTTATAATTTCTTACTGACTTTAGGCTTAAAGTGTTATACTAAATAATTAAATTAAATTTGATACCATACTGAAAAAAATCATTTGATGGTAGTTTTCATAATCAGTTGACTTCACATGGAGGATCATTGTACACTAGAGAATGAAATGATTATCTTTAAGTTTCACACGATGATTGAGATTTGTCATTGGTTAACTGAATTACAGGTCGCTCGGTTTCAAACCATTGGTTTGAACGTAACGTACCCTGAAAGAACATCAAAGATTCTGACATCGATTCTGTGAGTTCGCGCTAATGAGGAGTCGTAAACCATGACAGACTATTCGGTCAGTGATTTCTGCTTCTTAATGGTGTAAGAGCTGATGTTGTTTGTTGCAGTGATCATGTTCATAGTAAACGAACACAAAAAAATCAATCATCTTGACAATAAACTGTTTTAATCGCTGAAAATCCCCATCACATTAAAACAGATGTATGAACGTAGAATATTCTTCTCAATAATTTCTCTTCAGGTTCTACAATTATATATCCAAATACATAATAATTAATAATAATAATCCGTCAGGTTCAAGGCAAATTAAATCATTTAAAATTATAATATGTGACTTAAGGATGGTATGTAATGTAAAACAAAATAAAATCAGAATGGGGATTTATAGAGATTGTAGTAATTTTAAAAGTTGGATTCATGAGTCGATCTAAGGTAGATAGTGGATGTGCACTGCTAGGTAGTCCCATAATAGGATGAAACGGATGTTAAATACCTTCAGGTTTTCAATGGGTTGAGACTGATAATAATATAATTACAAATCAGAAATCCTCAATATGTAGAATAATATGAATTGGGTAAATAGGTGTGTAAAATTATTCAAGTTAACACTTCATATTAGTCACCCCAACATTAAGGATTTGATTTTAATAGTTGAATTCATGAGTCGATCTAAGCAAGACTACAATTTAAAACTTGGAGGCACTGAACATCCGTTTCATCCTATTATGGGACTACCTAGCAGTGCACATCCACTATCTACCTTAGATCGACTCATGAATCCAACTTTTAAAATTACTACAATCTCTATAAATCCCCATTCTGATTTTATTTTGTTTTACATTACATACCATCCTTAAGTCACATATTATAATTTTAAATGATTTAATTTGCCTTGAACCTGACGGATTATTATTATTAATTATTATGTATTTGGATATATAATTGTAGAACCTGAAGAGAAATTATTGAGAAGAATATTCTTCGTTCATTAATCTGTGTTTTGATAAAGTAATTAATCGTCATTTATCTGTATGTTTTTTTACATGAGTGGCAATACTTCATGATTAAATAAACTGTTTATTTTCAGGAGGCAAACAAATGAGGAACGTGAAACAGAATGGAGGGCCACAGGACGTTTTTTAATAAGTTTACATTCTCAGCTGAATTTACTTAAAGAAAACTTACATACGAGTAACAATCAAACATTTTATTCCACAGTGAGTGGTTAGACATGTTCAATAATAACTAAAATCAACTGAAATATGTCAACTATTAAGCAATTATTCCTTGAATTGAGTTTTTTTATAGTCCGATCATACACTCATTTAACTTATTGACTTTGTACTTTTTAATTGAGATAAACGTTTGTACATCTATCTTTGGTGTTAAATCAGATTGGATCGCCAAAATGAATATTAACCATTAATCCTCATAAAAAAGCATCACGTATTTATTACATCTATAACTTTTTCTTCTCGCTTAATTATCTTGGTTTCATGATGGTGTATAGGAATTGGAAAACGACGTTAAAAAATCCAATAAAAGACTGTAAAGATAATCATGGACACAGAAAAATCTGTGCGAATGAACAAATGATACACAAAATTGTACTGTGAAAAAAATGGCAGCGAAATTCATCATAAACCAAAATTATCAAGCTAAACATTGAAGTATTAAGATACTCCTCAAATTTCTTGCAATGTATTGTTTTGACAGAATTTGATTTCATGCTTTTCAATGTCACTATTCAGCTCGGAAAATAAAATAAAGTCGAAAATCACTCTCGAGGAATTGTGGCGTTTAGTAGTATTCAGATTATTATACGAAAAAGGAATCACCGAAACAAAGCAATTTAAGTCAGGTAGAAAAAGGTGGGCAAAAATTGCTTTATTGCACTCAAAATTCAAAATCTAGCATATATTAAGTAGCTAAAGTATCATTGGTTCATGAAAACACCTCAGTAATCTCACACATATATTGATTTGACATAGTACGACGATCAAAATTAGAAAATATCAGACAATCGTTTCACAATGCGGCAGAGAATGTTTACTAATGAAATAATGAAACGAAAAAAGAAAAAAAGATTAATAAATTGGCGCATGTAAATCGGTTGAGGCGTTACATCACGTGATAGTTACAATGAAAATCCATTAGAGTTTATTTAAATATGTAAATAGAAATCAAGAATGCTTTATTCGATCAGGATGGACATGTCAGCGAGTATAATGAAAGGCCTGATGAACAAATGTACAAAATAAGTAACTTTATAGGATTTCCAAACGATAGAAGGGAATTATTAGTGATGAATGAAAGTGCATACAGAATGTAAAATTTCTCTGGAAACGTTAAAACTGACGGATTCATATTTGTCTGTATATATAGTTAACCTTTAACTAAATACTAACTACATTCATCTACCGAAATAGATTTTCCCGTTAGACTACTACCGATTAACACTTGATCTTTAGGAGAAAATATAGGAAAATATGTTGCATTGATGTCTCGGTTCCAAAAATGCGTTATTCGTAGTAAGAGTAAAGCTCAAATTGTGAGTTCCATACGAGCCTCCAACAACACATTTCATCATTACTTAAAGCAAAACAGATTTGTAATGAACACTTCGTAAACAAATAAGAGGATTTAATAATAATAATAATAATAATAATAATAATAATAATGAAAGTTCAGGTCGTCAATGAGTTAGGTGGAAAATCTAAACATCAGCTTTCGATCCATGTTAATATGTAATTTTGATGGCCTCATTCAGTTGTATTGGTAATAACAAATGAAATTAAAATCCATAAGTAGGATTTCACGACTTCATTTAAGTTTCGCAGTTTTTAACTGGACCTTGGAGACCCAACTCCACTGAATTGCTAAAACCGAATAAACTATGATAATTATGAGTAATTGAATTATAGTACGAACTAAGAGTCCCAGAAATAACGTAATTAGATCGAGAACTACTAGATAAGCACGAACGAATGTACTGTATTTAGAATTCGAAATCAGGCATTCAACCAGTACAAAGGAATCATTAGTTCATTCAAACACCACATCCGCCACAGCTTAAATTGGAGTCTAAGTGTCTTCTTCTTAAGTTCATCCTGTGTCTGTCCGACAGTGTATTGGATAATGACTCTGTATTATCTAGAATGCACTCACTAGTATTAGGATTAACAACCGAAATCGGAACAGACTCACTTGATTTCGGGGATTGTGAACAATCACCATGCCGATTGAGTACTGAAACTACTACCTAGAATATGAACCATAGACTATCATCCCCCACGAAATAATTTCGGATCTTCATATCCCCAAGTTATGAATAATGTGGCTTCATTTAAAACATCTTTCTCAATTTGACTAGAGTAAACATTGGAAGTGATAAGGACAAACAACAGTTGATATGGAATTATCTGAATTGTAATCAGAATCGAGCTCATTTAATACTCTTGCTTTGCACTGAACAAGTTTCCCATAAGAAACAAATGCATCATGAGGACAAGTAATATTTGATATGACATCAAGATTTGATTCTTCTGAAATAGTTGCCTCAAATTTATTAAGAATGTCATTGCAGAGCAAAGGATCATTACAAAAATCAACATCAATCAAAACTACATCAGATTTTCGATCATGATTAGGTTTATCCGAAATATTCTCACCAGATTTGTAAGAAATTTCATCAGAAATATGTGAATCATTAGGAAAAATCATATTTGGTACAATGACATGAGAAATCTTATATGTTGATTTATTAGAAATTGTTTTCTCGCAAGGATTCTGCGTTTCATTTAACTCTGAACTTCTATATGACTCTAAATCGTCTTTTGAAATCGTTGATAAAGATAAATGATCATTATAAATCAGAATTACAAGACTTAATATTAAGTGCTGCAAGATGAACAGTTTTATTACAAACTGTCTGAAAATATGTCCAATATCACCACATTTAAAGCACTTAGAATCATGAAATCTACATGAATTAAAAGAGTGGAACCTGCCACAGGACAAACATTGACCAAACGTGTGCCCATCTATGATAATTAGAAGTATTTGAATTATAGTATGAACTAATAATCCCAGAAATAACGCAATTTAATCAAGAAGTACTACACAAGCACTAAGGAATGTATTATATTTAGAATTCGAAATCAGGCATTCAACAAGTACAAAGCAATCATTAGTTCATTCAAACACCACACCATCTTCGTGAACTGCATTGCAACTCCTCAATGAATTATCTGCACAACCTTGAGTATGCACTGGGATGAGGTGACGTAATGTAGTGGAATTTTTTATGTCCTCATGAATCGTTTTACGAAATCTCCCTTTACCGCATTCGGTATTTCTATACTTAACATAGTCCAGAAGCATTTCCTTGAGAGTTGTATAAAGAAGAGAAATGGGCTTTTCCAGCAAAGCCAAAACTTTTAATAAGCTATATGCATCTTTTCAGATGAATGTGAGAAAATGTGCCACAATATTAATATTCTCATCATCTTCCTTAATCATAGCCCAGATTTCGAAACTTTCAAAGTAATCCTCATAAGCATCAAAATCCGACTGAATATCTAACTGTTCCATCGCAGGCCCCATTGCGACGCCTATATGATAATTAGGAGTAATTGAATTATAGTACGAACTAAGAGTCCCAGAAATAACGTAATTAGATCGAGAACTACTAGATAAGCACGAACGAATGTACTGTATTTAGAATTCGAAATCAGGCATTCAACCAGTACAAAGGAATCATTAGTCCATTCAAACACCACACAAACTCAATATCATTAATTGTTGACTGAATTTTTATTTTCTTATCTTCTGAAAAACAGTTTCGACTACATAACACTGTATCTATCAACCGCTTAACATGATCTTTATGCTCTCGACTTGTTTTCATACGTCTGGTTATCCGTCTGATATAACTAACGATCTGTCAATAAAAGATAGACATGGGAGCTTGTTGATCGAAAACTTCCCCTATTTCGTTAATAACCGTTTGAATCTACTTAACTTCTAGTCAGAGAATATTCGAAAGGCTGGAAAGTGTGGAGTTTTGACTTTTATCTTATTCAACCAGTGAATAGAGTTTTTAGAAAATATTTGCTTCATTGTCTGGATGTACATCAACCGACACTGTGAAATTTTGTTTGAATCCTTTCCTATGAATCAGTCTAGTCAGATGATCAACGCGGGTGGTTTGTTTGATAGTCGATTAACGTATGGTAATTATATGAAGCATTATTTCGCTACAGTAACATGAGAAATCTCTTTGCTGAACCCTTATGACTTTAGAACACTGATTTTTTAGTGGTGTGTGGATTTACTGGGTTTGTATAAATCGCCGTTTCGGCCCAGATGATAAATGCATATTCACGTAAATTCATGTGCTTAACTATCTATGTATATTCAAATATTTGGGTGTGAATTAGAACTCCGAGGCCTCTTTTGGTCTCATTTTTTCAGTCTTGACACTTCCACGTGTATGTGGTTCTATATTCCTCCTATGTATCTCAACATGTCAACATTTAACGATATAGGGTTTAATCGGTTTTAGCAATTCAGTGGAGTTGGGTCTCCAAGGTCCAGTTAAAAACTGCGAAACTTAAATGAAGTCGTGAAATCCTACTTATGGATTTTAATTTCATTTGTTATTACCAATACAACTGAATGAGGCCATCAAAATTACATATTAACATGGATCGAAAGCTGATGTTTAGATTTTCCACCTAACTCATTGACGACCTGAACTTTCATTATTATTATTATTATTATTATTATTATTATTATTATTATTAAATCCTCTTATTTGTTTACGAAGTGTTCATTACAAATCTGTTTTGCTTTAAGTAATGATGAAATGTGTTGTTGGAGGCTCGTATGGAACTCACAATTTGAGCTTTACTCTTACTACGAATAACGCATTTTTGGAACCGAGACATCAATGCAACATATTTTCCTATATTTTCTCCTAAAGATCAAGTGTTAATCGGTAGTAGTCTAACGGGAAAATCTATTTCGGTAGATGAATGTAGTTAGTATTTAGTTAAAGGTTAACTATATATACAGACAAATATGAATCCGTCAGTTTTAACGTTTCCAGAGAAATTTTACATTCTGTATGCACTTTCATTCATCGCTGATAATTCGTTTCTGCCATTTGAAAATGATATTGTAACGTATAAACCTGGACATATCAGAGGTAATAATTAAGATCAACATCAATCATCTCAAGCTGCTTTAAGTAATCTCGCTCATCTCAGAATTTTACCTAATTATATAGCTCAGTTCTCTTTATCTGTTTTTATTATGAATGAAGCGTTTTGTCGCTCTAAGTTGGTTATGTGTTCGACGAAAAAATGTGTTTAGCTGTTTGATTAAATTATGTCTGTTTTGGTGTTTCACAAACTCGACTTTCAAAGTTTCTTTTTGTAGCCAAATAGAAACTTGTTATTGCACGTATTTTTTTCGCTTACTTCAAGGCTCTTCGGTCTTTTGTTCCATGTTAGTAATAGTACCAATTGTTCTCAACTTATTTTGTCGAGTGTGGTTTATGTGGTTAGTTTCGTAATTTTTCAGAACGGAGCAGGAAACATTGAGTGCAGAAAATGGGAGGACGTCTACTTGATGTATATTTCAAACCAATGCCCGGCAGATAGCATTTCTATCAAGGGAACATTGTTCTTAACAGACCATGTTAGTTTGGGATTCGTGTATAATTACAATTCTTGTTAGGGATCAAAAGTAAGTATTCACTGGGTACCCCATCATGATCAAGGTAAATTTCACTGTCACTCCTACTTGGATTACCTTATAGACTCGTCATTATCCCAAGAAGATAGAAAAGGTTATGAAATCGATATTAAGGATATGGATTTTCTTGTTATACGAAAGGCCCCATGCTTTCCTTGTCGTGGAGTGTATTTATCCCTAAAATCACATAAACCTTATGGCCCATTTCAGTTCCGTAAAGGTGGTTCAAATTCATTTTTGAAAAGTTTGAGTACTTTGGCGGATGTTACAAGGTAAGTGCATTTGAAATCCCTTACCTGTACTGGAATTCATAATACCTTGTTCCGTTATTTATCGAAGTTTATAGTCTTGATTTGTATGCCACCTTGCTACTAGTCAGTGTCATCGTACATTTTCAGTTAAGTTGTATAAAGAAGTGCATTTCTAACTGGGTCGCGTAGATCGTTGTATCAATTTGGGTATCTCTGTCAGTATAAAGTAATGTTTAGTGTATCTTTGTTAGAATTCAGCTAAGAAACAACCGGCAAAAATCATTTGATTTAATTTTATACCCAGGTCTTAGTATAGGAATAAAGCGTGGCTCGTGCCAAAACGAATTGAATGGCAGACAGTCAAATCTTGTAATACTTAAAATATTTCAATTTTTGCAAAGATACTTTTCACGTCTTGATTAATAAGTTTTCACACCTTATATCTTTAATCGCGAGGTTTTGAATGCGATGAAATTATGCCTAATATAGCCCATAAAACCTTGTTATACAAACTCTAAAATGATGTTATTCGGGCCCTGAGATTATAAATTTTGCACGGGAACTGTAAAACGTGGTTCACTGGTAAAAGTTTTGTGATTTTATTGTCCAAATACTTGTAATATAGTGATTTGATCAACTAGCTGTCCAGACTATATACGGCTGACAACCATACAGTCCTTTCTCATCACTAGCTACGTAGGAGTTTTCATGACGAAAAGCTCTTCTATTTCATGTTAAAGATTTTACTATGTAAACTATTGTATGTAAATATGTCAGCATTTCCAGTTGATGCTAACTGTTTTGATGTACTGAAACGCTCATCCAATTAGATATTTATTTGCATTTGTCTATGTCTAGTGTTTTGATTTCACGCCATTCAGCACCTTCCTCCTGACATCAACAGTTAGCCTGTCCAAGATAACTAAGTATTATCAATGTTGTTCCTTTACCTAGTCTTGCGGATTGTGGCTAATCAAGTAAACCTAATTTTCAACCCTACAGAGAACTGTTTCCAAGTCTGTTAGGTGGTTTTATTAGCCTGTCAACTTAGAAAATATATATGACGACATTTGTTACTTCTGTACTCCTGTGGATTTTCCTTGAATTGTGTCACCTGTAGCTCGGTCGATGTTTCTGTCTACCTACTAAACAGTCTGTTTACTGCAAGGCGATTCGCTCTGTAGTATTTTGAGAATTCGAAAGATGGGTTTGTAAGGTAGAAAACATATGTAATATACAGTCATTTGACCATGATTGTTTTCGGGCCATTGTACGTGTTTGACGAGACCGTCGGGTGATGTTAGATGGTTAATTGCCAAACAGAGATGATATGGCTGTTGACGAAACTATCAACATATTTCTGTTGACCTGGTTGAGATGTGTATTACGCATGGCCATCTGTCATTGTTTCTGGTTAGTGTTGATTCTGGTTGTAGGAGCGTACAGTTGGTTTGGCCAAGACATATAGCCGTGGTAATAATCATACAATTCAATAAACACTTTGTAAGTTCATGTACTCATCTCTACTGCAAATGTTTTGTGTCTAATTTGGTATAACTACCACTACCTGACCGGTTAGATGGGATTCTAATTCATAATCAAGGCTCTAAAATTTCGATACTCCAACTACTAAAACATCACACTAATCATTGATCATTAATGTAAGATGTGTTGTGAGACTCTGACTTGATTAGTTTACCGAATAATCGGAACGCATGGTAGACGATGTTAGCTGACATGGCTAGAAATGTCTCACTTTTTTTTAGATGCATTTCTTTATTTTCTTGTAACTTAACTATTGTATCATCTCATTCTTTTCATTCCTTGTTTTCACTTCCTCCTTTTGACCGTTTATCCTTTTATTTTTGTCTACACTACTGTCAACATCAATATTTTCTTTCTTAGCTTATTATCCTGCTCTTTGTCTCTTGTTCTATGAATATAAAACTAACATGTGTCAGATGGTGCGTTACGTACATTTGTAATGAATAACCTACGAACTCATTCAGTTGGCGGTAAACCATGCATTCTGTCAATATGTTTGGTTGTTTAAATCATTAAATCAGTTTTAATGTATTCCCTGTTTACTTAAGATTTAAATTTCTCTATAATATCGTCTCTACTTCGTTTTAAATTAATCGTTTTATTGTTTGGGCATTTGAATGATTGCTTTGTTTATCGTTTGGTTGTTATTGTTGTGCATTAATTTAGATGTCATGATGACGAGAATCGGTACATTGTCAGACCTCATTCACAATATAATTTTGCTTCTAATTACCATCTTCCTGATACGTAAGTGTAATGAAATTGTTGTTATTTGATTTACCAAAATTTTTCTATACATAATTATTGTGTATAATCCATATTAAAAGTAAAATATAATTACTTTTAATCTGAAATGATTTTGAAGCGCATTTCAAAATTAAGTGTTGACTTGCAACATTTCTGTGTCATAATTTAAGAGTTTTTGTCAATGTATACCTTAAATTTCACCCCAGATTAATTTAAAAACTTCAGTTTTGAGTTCAAAGAATAAGCTGAAAAAATACTGTCAGTTGTACTACCCATCAAAATCTAAAGGTGGACACGGAGAGTCCACCTAGGGGAGTTGACAAAACCCTGGTTCCAAACCAATGTTGCTCATGGGCCCCATCATCCTGAGTGAACAAATGGCGTATGAACCAATCGTTGGCCACCCGATTATATGGGATTACATCTCCTTAGGTAGATCCACTGCCTTATGGATCAGACCTTTAGGTCGAAGGCTCTGGGCGTGCCCCCCTAAGAAAACTACCTACTTCGGTTTGGGCACCCGGGAAGTATCATAGCCCACATATAAATCAAGTGACTTGTGTGGAGAATTTGTATTCGGTGCCCCTTCGTACCAACATTTATGTGTTCAAATAAATAAATAACTTTGATATTAGGATATAATTGGCACATATTGCGTAATCCAGGTAGGTATATTTGTTTGTAACAATGTAGCATACAAATGCTGTCTACACCCCTTATTTTTGAGTATTTATCTAAACAGTATTGATTGATGATGAATAATATATTTAGTTTAATCAAATCCTGAAAATCGTTAACTTGAGTAAAGTGCTAGCATTTAAAAAGATGTTAGACAGTAGTGAATCCTATTTACTTCTTTCATGTATGTTTGTTTATGTTTTCATTAAACCATAATATATTTGTATTATATCAATAGTTTTGTACAAAACAAACGTCATTTCAGTTCGGTAAGAGCGGAAGGGACAGGGCTGGTTGGGTCCCCTTTTTCTGGCCAATTAGGTGCTTCTTTAAGAAATATTGGAATACATGTCAACTCAATTGTTAGTACTATCTTGTCACCTAATTTAATCGATGAAAATATAGCTCCAAATAATGGTTCATCTGAAGAGTATTTTGCAAAATGTATTGCAGAAGACCTACAGAAAATGGAAGCTGCACGTTTAAGAACTACCGATGATGAAGGAGGATTTGCTGTTGTTGAACGAGTTAGTTTAAATTTTACTTTATTGTATTTATATATTTTTCTCCCTTATTTTTTTTGTCTAGTTTAACTATCTTTTTTGTAACATACTCGGTTGTCTTCGCTAATGAAATAATGTCGGAAAAATGATTTTTAAGAATAATTACTTCCCCTAAGTTAAATGTACACTCTTGTCCTCAGCTATTTTATTCATCGTTGTTTTAAAATTTTTATTATTTCCTTACTTATTGATTAAAAATGTTCATCGTTATTTTGTCGTATTATCACTCAATAAATCCCAAATTTATGGTTGAATTGAGAAATAATTATCCCAAATTTTTAAAAAAATCTTTATTTCTGATGTGAATTATTCAGAATAAACACACTGAAAGCCTGACATCGCATAAAAGTATATTTTACTATTTTTGAAGTGTTAAATTATCAAGACATGATTTCAAAATAAGTGGTTTAACTAAATAACTATCTGTTTGTGATATGATGGAATTAAAAAGTACAATATTGCATTCTTTTAATCATTGTGTTTTTTGTTCAATACTACTTTTGTTTTAATTCAATGTGATAATTACTCAATGTAGTATTTGTTTTGCTTTTCCAATATGGTAATTTATTTGGTATAACACTGATTTGTTATAATCCTAAGTATTTTTCATATATATAATTTCATCTTAACTATTTATCAAAAATGAGTTTGCAAATCAACATATAAATGAGTGTATTTTCGACTAGGGTTGTCATCGTGTTTTGGGGGGTAACAAATCTTCACTTGTACCAACATTTGTGTCCTTACTTTCGCGTCGTGAGAATTGCAGTTGTTCCTTGTTTTACAAGCATAAATGATAAGCGATTCCGACATAGCAATTAGCGATGACCAGATACAATAGTTAGCGATACAGTCATAACAATTTGCCGACGGGGATGGAACGCATCGAAATAGTTAGCTTAACTTGTCATTGTGTCACTGAGTCTTCTTTCCGTTCGCCGATTTAATTGATTTTGTAATCTCTTCGAACATAATAACGTGGCGACGGGGCTGCAGCCCACACTTGTTATTCACGGAAAATAACTTGACTATTCTAATATTGATGAAATAATACAAGAGTCCTCTATCTGATGGTTAAAAGCCGAATCAATAGACTGATGAACCATAGTGCTACACACATGATGCTATTTATGCATCGTTAATAATCATATATTCTGTGTAGTTTATTACGCTCTAAGAACGTTCATACATGGTAAAAATACTTATCGAATGACATGTTAACTGGCTTTAACGGTTTATTATTATTATTATTATTATTATTATTATTATTATTATCAACAATGATAATGTTAGCGAAATAGGGGAGTTTTAGCCTACATTTATGAGATTTGATGTTTTAAAATGTTAGACTTTCAAATATCAAACTTTTTAAAGGTGATTACAGACTATTTTTATTTTACTTGTTTTCCTAGAGACCAAATCCTATTTTTCTTCCACCAATGCCAATTGTCCAGCGTTCTCTTCCACTGAATATGACCCAATGGAAAAAGTCACTGGATCCAGAAGGTCGTGTAAATCGACCTGAAAATTTACGTGAAATAATATTCAATGGTGTAAGTTAGTTATATTTACTAAGGACGTTGAATCCCCTAGAGTAAAACGTATTTGATTTGTTCTGTAAATTCGAATTTCGGTTTCATTTTTGTTGTAAAAACACCCACAGCAATCGTCTTTATTTATTGTGATAAGAGGCAAAACATTTTTATTGTTTTGTTGCTTATTTAGTATATCAATTTTTCACCCTATTTTCAATATATTTGTAAATATTATTCAATCCATATCCAACCGATATTTACTAAAATACATCACCTTAAGTTTCCACCAATAGATCTTTCCTCTAGGATTTACCTTTCGGATGAACCAGAACTGTGAGTTGGAGAAGAAATTGTGCTCACAGTTAAAAAAGATACAACAATAATTGTTATTGTTTTGCCCTTTACTTATACGACTACCGCGAATACGATTGCCAAATTTAGATATGCGGACTTATACTACCAACAAATGACACATACACCTGAACGAACAGCCTAGAGGCCCGTTCGGTCCTTTTCCCTGCCTGTTCAGTCCAGAACACAAACCTCAGCCTCCACAATATACATCATATATTTCAAACATACTCGGTTTATGTACAAGCCACACCATACCAGGAATAGGAAATAACATTTGTACAAGATCAAGCCAAAAAGTGGCTGTGATTCAGGGAAACTGTAATTAATAAACTGGACATAACGATAATAAATAGTATAATGATAGTCTGTAGGTCTAAATAAAGCTTATAACAAGAGAGATATTAATATACATAAACTAGCTACTCAATAGTTATTTATTAAGAAGATACGCATAATATTAGTTCATAAACAGGTCCCCACAGTTACCATTCATTATGCTCATCGGGATATAACAGTTATTAAGTCCAAAAAATCTTACCAATATGAAGGACTTGAAAAGTATCATAAGACAACTGTTTAAAAACATAAAAAACTAAATGATTAAAATATAACTACCCAAGTTTCAAACATTTCTCTTCCTAATCATTACTAATGATCTCCTTAAAATTGATTTTTATCGAAATTTATCTCTTAACTTTCACTATTACGCTGATATTGTTAGTAAGTATACTACTGTCATTATTCATTTAATGATAGTATTATGTCATATGATTGGTAATTTATGTTCAGTGGAATAAAATACTCTACTTTCTGTTAATAGTAAAAAGGTTTTTACTTTTGATTAAATGTAATTAACTTTCTATCTGATGGAATTAAGTTCATTTTAACTTTTTTTGTTTCAAATAATGGATGAAAATGTATACTAGTGTTATTATCTATCATCATGATTATTCCTATCAAAAAAATATTAAATCTTATTTGATTGTAAAATGTTCCAATAGTTGAAATCATGAATCAATTGAAGCTAGACCACCATGGAAAACCTGGAAGCACTGGACGGCCGTTTCGTCCTAGTATGGGACTCCTCAGCAGTGCGCATCCACAATCCCGTCCCCCGCGGGATTCGAACCCAGGACCTATCAGTCTCGCGCCAGGTGCTTAACCAACTAGACCACTGAACCGGCATCCAACAGTGTTAATGTCTAACTTCCACCAATCCACGAAGTTGCGCCACCGTCACCATTGTCTTCAGTGAGCTGATATCTCACAACAGACCTGGTTGAACTCCACTGGTCTAGCTTCAATTTATTCATGATTTCAACTATTGAAATTACCAATTCTCCACAAAACCCATTCTTGTAAAATGTTCATCAAAAATTTGGCGAATGAAGATGTAACTTATAAATAGTATAGATTTCTATATGGTTCATACTACCTTAACTCTAGATAATTAAGAAGCCAATAAAAATGATTGTTATAGGAAATTAAATGTCTCTCTGATACTATAAATCAGTTTATAGAGAGAAATATGTTACAATATCTTGCTTCATAAAAATAAATTATTCCACCTTAACTACAGTGATGTATGTGTTGAAAGCTTAATGTATTTTTTTCTACTCACATGCTTCATCTTTTCATACCATGTGCAAACATCCAAATGTAAATCCCTTTCAATTATATTTCTATTCAGATCCATCTTTAGAAACTTTTAATCTCGATATCTTACTGCTTTTTTTAAAAAAAGTTTCTCATGATATCTGATTATACATCTGTCTATACTGGTGTCATATGTAATGATACATGATATATTATCCTGAAATTGTTAACCACATGTATAAAACCTAGTAATAGTTAGAATTATACTTCCAAAGGTCTTATATTACATTCCTAGAAATTGAACAAGATTCATTATTAAGTAAATGTCTCACTACTACTAATACTACTTACGCATAGGCCGCAGACCAGCATTCTCCAACCCACTGTGTCCTCGGCCTTCCTTTCTAGTTTTATCCAATTGGCCAATGGATCCGAAGTATTTTGCCTAGACAGCTGTTAATAAACACTTGTATATTCTGGGTGATGGCTTTCGTAATTCTCCAAGTTTCCACCTCATACAATCGGACTGTCTTGACATTTGTATTGAAAGTTCTGACCTTGGTGTTGGTTGACAGTTGCTTTGAGTTCCAGATGTTCTTCAGTTGTGGATATGCGGCTCTTTACCGATCCGCGCCTTCACATCTACAACAGATCCACCGTGCTCATCAGTGATGCTGCCCAGATATGTAAAAGATTTTACATCCCCAAAAGCTTTTCTGCCAAGTGTAATTTGATTGGTGCATGTTGTGCTGTATTGGAGAATCTTGCTTTTCTCTTTGTGTATGCTGAGGCCTGAGGCTGCTGCGGCACTGATCGTCTTCTCCTGTATTTGTTGTTGCGTGTGCGATAAAAGATCCAGATCATCAGCTGCATCCTAGCTGTTCACTGTATCCCGTGCTTCTCCCCAGATGTTGACTTTTTCATAATCCAGTCGATCACCAGGAGAAAGAGGAAGGATGGGAGTAAGCAACCTTGCCTGACACTGGTCTTTACTTCGAATGAGTCTGTCAGCTGTCTTCCATGCATGATTTCTCAGTTTATTCTATCATAAGAATTCCGTATGATGTTGACCATCTTCTCAGGTACGTCGTAGTGTTGAAGAAACTTCCTTAGTGTTGTCATGTCCACGCTATCGAATACTTTCTCGTAGTCTATTAAATTGATGTAGAGATGAATTTCATTTAGTTGATTGTTCCACGATGATCCGTAGTGTTGCGAGTCGGTCGGTACACGATCGATCCTTACGAACTCCAGCCTGTCGATCTCGGAATTGGGCGCCTACGGAGTCCTTCGTTCTGTTTAAAAACACCCAGTTGAAGACTTTTCCTGGTATTAAGAGAAGAGTGATACCTCTGTAGTTCTCACACTTGCCGAGACCACCTTTTTGGTATTTTGACCAGGTGTTCCTCTTTCCAGTCTGTTGTTCTTCATCCCAAATCTTGCTGATGGTGCTTCTTGTGACCCAGGGCCTTCTTAATCCCTTTCTAGTTGTTCTCCATAGTAGTTCCTTCTTCATTGAGATGGTGGAAGGCCTGGAACCTATTGCTGACGGCTATCTTGAATTCGTTGAGTTTGTCAGTATCTCGAAGAAAAGCCGTATTAAACTTTTGTGATGTTGTCCGCCCCCTCCCTTGTCTAGTGCTTCTTGAGTTTCAGTTCATAATCACTTAAATATATATTCCTCATATCAAGTGACTTGAAGAACTGAGCATACATTTCCTACTAGTTTGTTATGGTGTAAGTATGCTTTTCTGTTGACTAAAATCTCTTGATGTCAACAGAAATGTTAGAATCTTATGCTACTTTATTTCCACACCACTACTTATTTTCGTAGCCTAATCGAACTAATTCAAATACCGGTAACCTGTTTCACTTATTCGTCAAAACAATTTGTGAAATTTGTAAATAACTTACAAACTTCAATAAGATAAGATTTTCTATTCTTTGAAAACTATCATATTTTCTTTTTTTTCTCGCTAAGTAAACTTTAATCGGAGCAAAAATAATTGATCTGCTACTTCTTAAATGCATCTGCTAAAAGTGAATAATTTTATACAGCAAGTTCTTCAACTACATTATATACATCCCTTCATTTCACCATGTTTAGTGGGATTATTTCTTTCTCTCCGATTTCCTATAACTTCAAATTTTTCTCAGCAGCGAAAACAACACTACGAGACATTATTTATGAATCATTAGATATCATGAACTAGGATAAATTGGATGGGCATGAAAACGGTGACATTTTTAATCTGAAAAGTTGTATTTGTATGTGTGATAATGGTGTGAAATGTGAGTAGAATTAGATATGGCAACTTGGTTATATGGTTCAAATCGTATGGATTGTAAGGCCTTCTTTTCTACTGAGGGCAATAAGATTTAGCAGTATATGATAATCTTCAGCTACACTCCCTTCTTTGTAGTTGGAAAAACGTTTTTAAATTACTTTGATATTTTCAATATCGATTTGATGGTTATTGAAGAAAACTTTAGGTAGACGTTTGTGCTAATGATGTCTTTCAGAAGAACGATGAAAGCTCCACGACTAAACCATCTAGCTTAGTGAACAAAACTCCACCAAAATCATCCACTTGAGCTACAAATCTCAAACATCTCAACTTCGAAGGGTGTTAGTTGTTTAGTAGTGTGCTTGAATTCTATGTTAAGATTCTTTAGCGATCTTCTGTTGTACTTTGGCGGTATGGTAAAAATAATGCACCAAACCATATTATTTCATTTAAACTACTTCTTAATAATAAATCGTCTCCTGATATATTTTTATTAATATTCATAAGAAAATTATAAGATCTTGACTGTGTTTCTGTTCTTTTTGCCTAGCCTTTTCAGATGTCATATTCTTGGTTGCTCTTCAAAAGAGATTTTTGTACTGAGTTGAAGGCAACATAATGATTAGTGTGTGTTGGTTTCCCTTAGATAGTTAGATTTACAGCTTCAATTAGATTTCTTTAAACTACAATTTAAAAATGATAACTCATCGTATTCATTTTCATTTTTGTATGGGAATTCAGTATGGGATGAGAGTATATTGATCAGTTTAGAAAACGTTCGAGAGTCTTTTTCATAGCGACAAAAGTATCGTCCCCATATCTGGACCAAATTCGTGATCTAATGTCATTGGCGAAAATATATGATTCTATATGAAACATAGTCAGGTTAGCAAGGGGATCCTATTGTCACTCTTTTTGTTTGCATTACATCCCGTCGAAAGTAAATAAGGCTGAATTTAAGTATAGCTCTAGAGATTTCCCGGAGATCTCCCCATGCTTCTCAACGCACATCATGGATATTTTTACAAGAACGTATTCAAAAATACATTTATCTACTAGGAAAATACCGTGAACGTACCAAAAACTTGTATTATCTAATAAAACTTGGTTACTGCTAAATTACAAACCACTAGTTCTTACATTTCATTGTAAGGGAACACCATTATTTAAATTCGTCGAAGTACCAACAAGTAAAAAAATGTGAAAAGATTAGAGGAATAAAGAAAGAAAACTACTCTTAGACCATTAAGACTGGATTTTATTGTTGTTGATGTGTCCTGATAGCTATCATATCTATAACCGGATCACTAATGTCGATCATGATGTTTAGTGGTTTGTCTAAAATTGGTTTAGAAGAGAAGAATATTTTAACAGTTAAAAAGTAATACTTAGTAAGAATCATATTTATGTCTCACTTGAATTTCTTCTGTGTACTGATCGGACAATTAAAATACGGCTCAGCCCAGATAAGTGCTGAAAACAAAAACAAATGTGGTTACATAGTCCAAGATATCATATTAAAACCCATCAATCTATTGTTTAACAATTTTTTTAATCGTCAAAACTTAGTAAACTTCAGATTTTCATCATTAGTTGAGAACTGCTATTATGATTTTACCCACTATGAGTACCGTAATTTTCATAATTTGTTCAAATCTTACAAGTCCATCAAGTCCTATAAAGTAAATAAAATAATTTGATTTTAATGCCTAGTGAATTTACGTATTTTTTTACTACCGTTTTGACAATGTTTATGAAACATTGCGCCTAGCTTTCTTCCAGCTTACTCTTATACCAACCGTCATCACTGATCGAGGTAGACAATGGTTGGGCATACTTATTACGTGTCTCAACCACCTAAACTAATTATGTAATACTGTGTTTAACAATAAATGGGTATCAACTAAAGCGACCATGATTATTTTTTCTACTTTATAAGGTATATTTATCGTCATCTTCCTTCTTCTTGTTTCGCATAATTACCATTGTTATTATTACTTCATGCAGGGTATAGAAAATGATTTAAAACCAATAGTATGGAAGTATTTACTCGGTTATTATCAATGGACTTATACAGCAGAAGAAAATGAAAGATTAAAAGTTGAAAAAAGGTTTGCTCGTTTTAAATAATATCAAAAGTATTTTATCATGTAAATTAAGTGAGTAATTTCTTGTAGGACTAAAATATATGCACGTATTGACAAGAGATTTACATCATTATTTATGAATACAAAATTCTGTTTCGTTGCCAACCGAATATGGTAGGAAAAGATCAATAAGAAGATTCAGTCAGAAAACAGGCAATATATATAACCCCACAGTAATATCTTCATAAAATCTTTAGGACCAAACAGTATTAATATTCGTACTCATCTCACCTTGTAAATATATCAACGTATAGCCTTCAAATTAAAATTACGTAAAATACAAACAATTAAGAAGATTCAGATCATAGTGAGGTTTGTCTTCCCATTATTGATGTCAAGAACCGCGATTGACCACTCTCTCCCTATACCTCAGTGGTAAAGTAAAAAGTAATGGTTTCGAGTCTGTGTGAACATTAATAGTTCAATTTAAGTATCCGAGTTTCAAATAGAATGAAACATATATTCTATATTTCACTACTAGTCACTGCCCAACTTCAATAACCATGAATACTTATTCACCAAAGTTTCTTTCACTTATATTCTTACTGTAATGCGTCGCGTTGAAGGCTTCATCAACTAATAAGCATTTGTTTACAAAATAAAATTATAATAAGAAAAGAAATCTTTAAATATATGACTCAAAGCATCTGGAAATTGTTATTGTTAACTTTCAAGTTATATATATATAACTTATTTCCTTATTTTTTGTCTTATAATTATGGTTATTCCTCAGTGAGTTTAACTCTAAATGTTTCTTTCGTATAACTATATTCCTCTTGAATCCTTACTTCATTATACAATAAACCACACTCCAGCGTTTTACGTTTCTATTTTTTCAGTCGTGAATACCACATCTTGAAGACGTTTTGGAAGTCAATGTCCCCTGATCGAGAAGCTAGGTTTTCATTGTTTCGTGATCGTAAATGTTTTATTGGTAAGTCCTTTATTGTTATTTTCTTTCGTTCATCTAAATAACGTAACGGGGATTACTAATAACTTCATTTTCCGATTGCAATGTTTATCAAGTAAGCAAATGTTTCGCTTCCCTTGGAGAAAATTAATTATTAAAAAGTATGGGTCTGTGATCAGAAATATTCTTTTCTAATTAGTATCTTTATTATAATGATAAAAATATGAATTTAAAAAGATTAAATCATTGAAATCAGCTGATCGCCAGTGGGTATATTACCTTTGATTGATACCTTTTCAGTAAACAAAACTGCCTACACAAAATTCTTTGTTGGTTGTTGAATGAATCGAATACGTCACTTCTCTTCAACTGCTGATTCAATTCTTAATCATTATAATAATGTAGTTTTAATAGGCATGCAAATAAATGTGTTGTAGATGGTCCGTTACCTGGCGAAAATCTAAGACCATTTGCAAGAATTCAGGCTGAGATTTTGATCATCTATCAAATATTTTAAATAAAAACAAGGATGGTATCTCGTTGAGACTGGGTAGTTGAAAGCAATCGGAAGCCAATTCATTAAAACCTGATTCGATCGCCATCGATAGGACGATATTCCTCAGACGTCTGTGCGTCCGAATAGTTCTTATGAATTTCATAAACTGTCATAATGTATTTTCATGATTATGAAATAACAAATATATGCTTTAGTTAAGTTCAAACGCGCTTAGTATTAATCCAAGCATAATTAGAGTATGTTTCACTTCTAAATGCAGTGTTACCTCAGAACTGATCTGCTTTAAAGCCTAAACTAATCATAGGAAGTGAAATGGATCAGTGCGATGACTAATACACTGATCTTTGGAGTCGTACCAGCCCTGGTTAGTTGATGTCTGACGAAATCTCTGTATGGATATAGAAATCTCACTAGGTTTCTACCAACTTGTCAGATTTGGCGTAGATGAGATTTCCCCCTACCAACTAAAGGGCAAGTATACTGCACAACAGTCCTAATTCCTTCCAATCTTTTCTCTTGGTATTAGTTTACGGCTCTTACACAACTTGGGTGGTCTCTAAGCATTTTATCATAGATTTCTTCGAAACATTGCAAGTTTTTGATAAACCAACGTAGTGAGCACTGCCCAACTTAAGTTTACTAAACGAAGATGCTACACCGGTTGACGAAGTTGAGAATTTTCGTTGACTGACTTGCTTGAGGCATGTATTACATATACCTATTCGCTGCCTACTTATCTGTATGAGCAATGCTGGCTGTTTTAAAAGTAAGTTTAGAGAAAGCAAGGTATATAAAAATCAAGATGTAGACTATTGGACTGGATGAATGTCTGGTTGGGGGTGTGTGCGGTAAACATAATCAATTGTTACGGAAAAATAAATTACTTTATTCGGATTTTAGTGGGTGTATGAAGGACAAGCCCCTGCTTTAGGCCACATCAACGTTCATCTTTAAGTATACTTGCTCTTTTTAAACAAATGTAGCTCTTTAGAAATGAATTTGTGATCATTACCCCGCGTGGCTTTCAAAAGGATCACGGAAGTCAACTAGCGGTTCAATTCAAGGACATTTCGTAAATTCTGATCATGTCACTGCACAAGAATCCTTTTCCAAAGTCATATATACGACTACAGGGAGTACAAACTAAAAGCTTACTTATCTCATACTCAATCTATCAATTCATGCCTAACCCCTCTGTTCAAAAGCAATATGTTCAACCTCTCATTTTATTATGGTCTCGACATGTATTCTATTCTTTTTTACTTTCATAAATGTCCTTATCTTGATATTTCTCACTAACCGTTAGATCATTACGCAATTTCCTTTTGTTGTTTGAGATTTCCGAATAATTTAAAACACTATTGGGCATGATTCTGCTATCGTAACGTGATCTATGCCTACTACGATATTGTTAGGGCGATCCAAAAAACTCGAAAAAATCCAAAAAGGTGTCTGAAAACATTGAGAAGTATCTTATCCAATCAGCACCTACTAGACGTTTTGCTAGAAACATCTAGAAAGTAAAAAGTCACTTGTCGAGTTTCTGGTTAGATGGTTACCTATACTGCTACTAGCAGCCGTCCAGAATTTTCCGGAAACCCAAAGCCATCTAAAAATACTATAAAAACCCTAGATTTTCTGTACATACACAAACCTTTAGAGTAAAGCGTTTCTTCCATACTTCGCGCCTTTTCTCTCGTGTTCAAGTCGCTGTATAGATCTAGTCTGGGGGTTACTAGAAGAGCTTAGGAACGGAATTCAGCGTTCAATTAAAGGACTTATCAGATATTTCAAATAAGTTCAAGGAAAGATCATTGTAATCTTTTGTCAATTAAAGTATATATTATGTTAGAATTAGGTTTAGTATGTTTTTTACAAACAAAGCTTTTATCTATTAATTTCATGCCTGACTCTTCACATGTCATCCCATAGACATCTGACCTTTATTGTGTTGATTTCTCTTTAAGAGTTTGGACAGAGTTCTTACTTGTGTCTTTAACTGGGCTTATATTTCTGATATTTGCTTATTCAATTGAGTTAATTTCAAAATATTCCATTTCCGGTCAACAATATCCTTCAACTTTTCTTTAATTTTACCCTCCAACTGTACTCGAGTGGTTTTGTTGAATCTCACTTTTGTTTACGTAGTGTTTATTTGTATACAGTTTATTACATGCATATTGTTAATTTACTTATTTAAGTATTGTAAAACCACTTCAAGTGATTATTAAGAACAATTCTTTTAAATATGTTTTGGTATTTATTGTTGACTGCATTTGTTCTTTTTTTGTGTATAATATACTTCGTTTTTCTCGACACTTAACTGATACATATTCTTTTTGTTTTGTTATACACCAACATACTTAGATAAAGACGTTCCACGTACTGATCGAAAAACTGATTTTTACTCAGATGATAGTCATGGAAATTTGACACGTCTTTCAGATATACTTATCACGTATACTATATATAATATGGATTTCGGTAAGAGCTAATTACATAACTTGAAATTGACTGTTTATATTCACTGATTTATTATTCTGTGATTAATTGTATTAAATACAGACTATCTAGTTTGTAAGTGATTATGTCGAAGTTACTAACTGATTGAGAAAGGTATCGATTTCACGCTGATTTGTAGGTCGTTTATTAGGACTTATGGATATATCAGCGTCTCCAGGATATTAGAATAGATATTTGAAGTCATCAATGTCAAACTTTCAATCATTGTTTTTTAAGTAAAGTATATTTTCACTTCATTAAACATATAAAATTACGAAATCCTGCCATTTATAATTGTAGCGATTTTACAAGAAAACAGTTCGAACAGTTATTGCTTCTCTACTCTGTAATTTTTTGTCTACAAATCGTTCACAATCAGCAAAACTTCCAGTAATGATCAGTGCGTAAATTAGCATTCAATTCTTCTTAATTCGAGCTCCACTCCTAAGACAAAACGAAATATAGTTATCCACTCTAGAATGATAAACAAGTATGCAAAAAATAACATACAATGTAACTTAACAAATCATATTTTCGCAAAATAAGTCATATTTGCTTATGTTAATCTATGATCTTGCTAATTATGCCAAATTCTGTACACCTCCACAGACTGTTTTTCCTTTTTTTCAATCTATATCATTAGTAGCTTAGTGGATTAACTGTCTTGAACATATATTTTACTATTCTCGACATTGCTTTCCTTAAAACTGCACACATCCAATTCAGTTGTTGTAGAGATATTGTACAAACCTTTAAAGCCATTAAATGACACAACTGAATTACTGCATATATTATCTAGGTCTATATTAATCAGTCATTAACTAATGTATCATTATCAGAACGGGTTTTGTGGAGATTTTAGTAATTTCAATAGTTAAAATCATGAGTCCATTGAAGCTAGACCACCATGGAATCGTGGATGCACAACGCTGAGGAGTCCCATATTAGGACGAAACGGTCGTCCAGTGCTTCCAAGTTTTCTATGGTGGTCTAACTTCAATTGACTCATGATTTCAACTAATATAATATTGTCCAGTATTTGATATTAATTAATTTTTATCTCGAGAAACTTTTACAACTAAATAAAGCGACTTCAACTCACTGTTCATTTTTGTTTGAAGTTGAATGAGCAAAGTGAATTAGCAGATAGTCGGTTGGAAATTATTAGTTAAAGAGTTTGAACGAATTTTATAAACATTGAATTAGACAACTGCTACTCAATGTCTGATTGATGTAAATATCTCGATCTTACTGTATGTCAATCACAACCAGAATATTTCAGTGGTAATGCCTTTGATTACGACACCAGAAAATGATGAGAGTTCAGATCCTCTAACAACATTAGTTATCTTGTGATTGCAAATAATTCTTCCTAATGAAACATAGGGCTTCCTACCGATTACATTCAGTCATCAACCGATATCTAGACCGCTCATTGATTAATTGTTTATTTGCATGATTACTTTGTTTTTTTCAATAGTTGGTTTTATTCTAATGACCTACTTCTTTGGTCACACTTCCCTAATCTCTTGATTTCCGTCAACCAAACAAAAGTGTAAATAGAATCAAGCGACTTATTAATGAGATGGAATAGATTACAGTTTCGAGAAAATCGCTCCGACAATTCATTTTGTATTCTCATTAGAAATAATTTTTAAAATATCACTTGCTGACTAAAATGAAAAGGAACAATAATTATAAGTATCCTCAATTCTTTTAAAGATGCATTCTTACAATTAAAAATCGTGTAAATTTGATGATGAAAATGTATACAGTTTTTTTTCTTGGATATTTCTAAGAGATGCCGTTTTAACAATAATCTAAAACACTCGTCTTGATTCTTGTTAAAAATTTTGAATCTGTTCTCATGACCACCAATTTTAATCATATTTGTTTTTTGTATGTTTATGCTTCAGGTTACTTCCAAGGAATGAATGATTTACTCGCATTAATACTTTATGTTATTAAAGATGAAGAAGATTCTTTTTGGTGTTTTGTTGGTTTAATGAATAGACTAGTAAGTTTTTCATATATATATATATACATATAAAGGCGTTTAAAACCATTTCACCCTCATCAAAATTTATAACTGAAAAATGTGTGTTATATTACGCACTCGTTCTTTACATAATTTGAGCTTAAGTTAACATATAAATGATCCAGAATTATAAACGTACATCAATGTTTATATATCCGTTCAACTTTGTTGTATGTTAAGCCTGGTGATTCGTTAAGAAGCATTAGGAAAGCGCGAATTTTTTTAATGCTAAGATTTTCAAAAATTTGAAACAATTAGTTTTTTTGATAGGTTTGGATAATACGATGAGAAGACGCAGGTTATCAGAATTATGTGATATATTTGCCCAATGTATTTCGAACAGTCTGACTACACATTTAATTGTTAAAATACTATGTATGAACAATGAAAGGTCAATTAGACAAATTAAAAGGTAAAGGAAGCAAAGATAATAATAAAGTACACAAAAACAGTGTGAAAAACGACGCTGGATAATATATGAGTGATATAGGTTAAGAGTAAGAACAAATTGTTTTTGAACACATATAGAGGATTTCAATCTACTTCAACTTTTATTTTTCGTATATATTGTCTTGACAGGTATAGCTGTGATCGGGTTGTTCAAAATGCACTACGCAAATACATCACATAATCCTGATAACCTTCGTCTTCTCATCGCATTATCCAAAAGCTTAGATTTTTATCTAACTAATGCAAAAACAAACGATCAGTTCAAATATTTATTTATTCCCGCCACAACTGACTCTGATACATCGAAAAGCATGAATATTTACAGACTTTTTGAGTGTCTTCGAGAATCAACCATTCAGTATGTAAGATTCATAATGTCTAAATTAATTTTGCAGCTGGAAATAAAAAATTTCGAAATGCTGACTTGCGAAAAATCTAGTTTTTGGCCGATTCGAATAGAGATTTCGAGTGTGCTACAAAATAGACGAAATAAAGAAAATCACTGAAAACAGAAGAGTGTGACGTAATGTAAATTAAGTGTTGGTAGTAGCCTTGTGTATACACTAGCAATAGGCATCTTCTACTAAGCCTTATGGCCCTGGTACAGCCGAGAATTGAGAGAGTCAGCTCTTCCTCTATAAATGCTCTCACACGGCTACGTGCATACAACCACTGTCAGGGAAGTCCTATCCACTGCCTTCTCGCGGTGGGGCTGTTGTTTACGAAATTGAGGACGATCCACATAGAGAAGTTGGAAAACCCTGATTCCAAACTAATGGTGCGCATGGGCTCTAGAACCCTAAGGAAACAAATGGCGTATGAACAAATTGTTGGTGACCGGTTACCAAGGGACTGTATCTCCTGACGTTGCTCCACTGTATTGTGGGTAAGACCTTTAGGTCGGAGTCTCCGGGCGTGGCCCCTTAAAAAATCAACTACTTCGGTCTCAGCCCCTCACGCAAATCTAATGATTTATGTGGCGCATATGTATTTGGTGCCTCCTTGTACCAATGTTTATGTGTTTAAATAATAATAGTAATAATAAGAGTTTCTTGATTTTTGCACATATTACAATATCAAACAAATAAACCAAAAAATAATGAACATTTCATATTTCCACATTTTTTGTTCATTTATTTATCGATTGTTTTTTCTTGTAATTTTACTTCGCCTCTACCCTTGTCATATTAGCTTAATTTGTAGAAGAAATTTACCTTTGTTTGGCTCATTTGTATGTTAATAATAATGATGATAATAATAACAATAATGTTATTCAGTGCTATAAACGTTGTTCAGTCAGTGACAACGTAGAACTTCGAGTTTCCATACCACATTAGCACAGAGATACAATTGTCGATTCAAATCTCTTAATTGACGAGGTAGTAAGAGTATAAGCAGTAATCGGAAATACTAGGGCTTGAAGATGTTATTCAAGGAGTATAATCCAGTGAAATAAATTTGAAAAGATAAAAAAGGTACATGAAGAATTAAAAAGATTAGAATTTAGGAGAACACAAACAGTGGATGCAACTGCGCCATAAACGTTGTTACAGTAAGAAGTGCTCCGAATCAGTTATAGAGTATAGCAACATACTTCTGTTTAATATATGATCAAACTATAATTATTTGATAAAAAAATCTTATAAATATTTTTAATAGTTATAACTAGCTATCTATCTTCAAGCAAGAGAGAGTTTTCTATTAGATGATAGTCTAATATTTGTTCTTGAACATTTTATTCATTTATTATTATTAATATGTTGAGTGTTTACTTATCAAATATGTGATGATAAAATTACGATATATATATTCTATTAGAAAATTATGTTTCTTTATTATAGGAATCTAATTTCAATGGTGAACTCAATGCAGTCAGAGAACAATTTAATCAATTATTTTCACTGATTGAAATATTTGATCCAACTTTTAGTGAATATCTTGGTAATTTTTATTAAATAAATGATAAATTTATTAACATCAGGATAAAATATTCCAGGAAATATAAGTTATAAATAGAATAATATATACAATCAAAAATTTAAAAAAACAATCTGTATCTATCTTTAGTTTGTAATTATCTACTGACTGTATACCCTCACATACCTATCGCATTTTTGATAGGTATATGTAACTCTATCAGTAATTCGTAAACCTCCCTGAAATATCCATAGAATAATGTTTTGTATGATTTTCTTCTCTTACTAGACTTTATAACAACAACTGGGTGATTTTTTTGTTCTATTATCTAAGAATATCGAACATCCTAGACAGTCAGTCAGTCATACATAACGTGAAAGCTGGCATGCATGTACATTGGTTCAAGTTGCCACACTCTAATAACGCAACTGCAATCTAGAGCAGTAACAGTATTGGCGGTAATTGAAGAGATTAAGCATAGAAAATACGGTTCGTGAAAATGCGAATTCGTGGAATAGTAAAATTTAAAATAAAGAAAAACTTAGTATCTGAGGAAAAACACACAATAAATATAACTGCACCATTCAGATCACTTCTATGGCATACCATCTAATGTTTTTAACCACTAAATAAGATTATCGTGCTGACTTTGACCAGGTTATCTGCATCTACCATAACACCTCACTTTAACAGCCAATGGCTTCATGGACATATGTCACTTTTCAGTTTGGCCGCCTCTACCATTTTCCCAACCTACTCCCATAATAGCTATTATCACTAGTGTACGTAATCAGTGATTAAGTATACATAATACTTCTCCCAACTACCTCAGTCGATAAAAACCTCATCAAATGATATAGCATATTTACCCAGTATCCTACTCCTAATCTCCGCATTCCTCAGTTTTTGGTTTCAATAAACACTAGCAATACCTCAAAGACACATATATCCTAAACATTAGTCATTCCGATTTCCTTAACTATAAGTATTCTCTATGAACTGTTTTCTCTCTTTCTTCCTAAATGTTAAGTCTACGGAATCGACCACATCTGTTAATTTTCAGTTTGGGTGTCTACTAACTTACACCTGTCACCGCTCGTCGGGGAAAATAGGCCACCCACCAAAATTCTCCATCGAACTCTGTTCTGGACAATCCTTTCCAGTTGTCATTCATCCTTTTCATGTTTGCTTCCGATTCCCGACACAGTGTGTTCTTCGGCTTTCTTCTTTTCCATTTCCCTTCAGGATCCCAAGTTAACGCTTGTCTCGTGATGCAGTTTGGTGATTTCCGTGATGTTTGTCCTATCCACTCCCAAAGTCTTTTCCTCTTCAGTTGGAAGTTGGTTTGTTCTCTCTCTCTCAGTAGTCTGTTGCTGATGGTATCCGACCGACGGACATTAAGTATCTTATGTAGACCTTTGTTTATAAATTCTTATACCTTTTTGATGATGGTTGTGGTAGTTCTCCAGGTTTCAGCCCCATACAGTAGAACTGTCTTGACGTTTGTTTTGAAGATTCTGACTTTGATGTTGGTTGACAGTTGTTTTTTTTGAGTTCCATACGTTCCTCAGATTTAGGAATGCCGGTCTTACTTTGCCAATCCTTGTCTACGACTTCATCGGATCCTCCTTGTTCATCGATGATGCTGCTCAGGTATGTGAGAGTTTCCACCTCCTTCAGAGTTCCTCCATCAAGTGTGATTGAATTAGTGTTCTCCGTGATGTATCTGGGGATGTCGCTATTTCCATTGTGTTTGTTGAGGCCTACTGATGCAGAGACTGCTGCTACATTAGTTGTCTTCCACTGCGTTTGTTCGTGTATATGGGGTAGAACAATTAGGTCACCTGCGAAGTCCAAATCATCTAGTTGACCACCAGAAAGAAGAGAAAGGGGGAGAGTAAGCAGCCTTGTCTGACTTCGATCCTAACTTGGAATGCATCTGTCAGCTGTCCTCTATGTAAGACTCTTCACTGTAATCCGTCGTATGAATTCCGGATGATTCTGACGATTTTCTCGAGTACTCCATAGTGTCATAGAAGTTTCCATAAAATTCTCCTATCCATACTATCAAATGCTTTCTCATAATCAAGGAAGTTGATGTATAGTGTCGATTTCCACCTAACTGATTGTTCAACAATTATCCTTAGCGCCTTGATTTGGTCTGTGCTTGACCGATCCTACGGGATCCAAGCTGTTGATATCGAAGTTGGGCGTCTACTGAGTCTTTCATCCGGTTCAGCAACACTGTGTTGAAAACCTTCCTTGGTATTGACAGTCCTCACACTTGCTCAGATCTCTTTTCTTTGGTATCTTGATGAAGTGCCGTTCTTTTCAGTCTGTAGTTGGCACTTTTTCTTCCCCCCAAATATTCCTTAATGAAATGTGGAGCATGTTTGCAGTTGCTTCTACGTCTGACTTCAATGCTTTTGTTTGTATATTGTCAGGTCGTACTGCTTTCTCTCTCTCTTGATTTACGTGATGGTCATCCTGATTTCTTCGATACTTGGTGGTGTGATACCTGTTCAAAGGTCTGTGCGCTCTAATTGATGTTCGGTTGATTCAGTGGAGCTGGTCTTTTCAAGAGTTCCTCATAGTGTTAGTTTGAGATTGTGTTTTTAAAAATGTTTAGTTTTCTTTCTTGTGAATCTCCAAGAAATCTAACGCACAGTTGATAGTTTAACGCGCTATTACCTTTATTGTTCTGCAAACGTGAGTTTATTCACTATATCTAAATGTTTGTGTTTATTGTAAATCTATTTAGCTGTTAGCATAACATACGTATAATTATCTTCGTTAATGTAAACCCGTAACCACATTTAATCGAAGTGAATTTCAATACTTGATTTCACCAATATAAGCAAGCCTTCGAAGATCAATTTTTTGCTTGTAGTAAAACGTAGGAGAACAATAATTCTTGATCTTATTGTCAGTACGTGTCTAGAAATCGTTGTGATTACACATTGTAGCGCTAGTTAGCAGTTTGCTACTGACTTTAATGTATTATAGCTGGCATTCCATGAATCAATAACTTATCAAAGTTAACACAATTTTATAAGCACATGTAATCCGCTTCTAGTTGTTAAATTAAATCTCGTTCTAAGTAATTCTGAATTTTCGTCTAGTAGATAGAAAACTTACGTTGAAGATGTTCGGAAGGATACTATCATCTAATATCACATAAAATTTTGTATTGTTTGTATACATTGATTTTGTTCATTTATTTAAACTGGTAATCCAATTTCCATCTTATGAATTTTATTTTACTAAAAATTCTACAATAAATGTTTACAGAATCGAAAAGTGCCAAAGAAATGCCGTTTTGCTTCCGCTGGTTGTTAATTCATTTCAAACGAGAATTCTCATACAAAGATACTATGACTTTATGGGAGGTATGTTAAATTAATCATGTTAATAATTGTTTTAATTTTTTTAATTCAATAGTTTCTTCAAATACATGTATAGGTTGTTCGCTTCTTTTTTGTTAATTTTCTAAACTGGTTATTTTTCTTGCAATTACCTAAATTATACACTAATAATTTTGAAAACGTTTCGCTATTTCTGTAACTCTTCATTTGTTATTGATGATTATATTATTTATTAAAAGCTGTTTATTTACCTCACTCAGTGTTCTGAAATCTATTTTAATTGGTATATAACCACCTACAATTTGGTTAGCGTTTTTTTAGCAAGGTTTTTTTCTACGGGGTTGGGTTGCCGACCCCATGGCCAACCCTCCTTTACCCGAGCTTGGGACTGGCAGTAGCCGTAGATGAGCTACAGGTGGGATATACCACCTACAATCACTTATTTGTTATTTCTCTTTATATCCTCACATGTTTGTAATTTTATTAAGCTCTTTTCATTTAATATGACATGCTAAATGTCGTAGGTTTTTAAGAAAATTTTGCGTTAGCTTGTGTTGCCCATACTTTATAGTAACACAGATAGAGGAAATCAACTGAAACATCTAAAAATGTAAACCTATCAATGGCTGTGGAGAACCGAAAAAAATGGAACCAATAAAATATGAAAGACCTTGATGATATTTTTGACATAACGGAAAATACAAGCAAGTGGATGTCTCGTGTGACCAAGTTGTAATAATAACCGAGCAGCTGTATCCTCTCTCTCTTCCTCTATTTCGACTATTGATTATTTCGCTTATATTGCCAGTAAGATCGGTGAACTGTTTACCAATTAACGAAAACCGAGACCTTAAAGCTTACTACTCTTCGAACTCCTTCTAACCTAGTGTCTAATCAGAAGACGTAGATAAGAGGCAGTTCACTCTTCTATTGTAATTCATTCTATCATGATTCAGAATCTATACAATATACCTGACGACACAGCAACACAATTAGGTAATTACACTGTTTGCTTATAAATCGGAGTAATAAGAAAATAATTAATTAGTGTTAAATCTGGAACGATAACGTATATGACAGCAATTTATGGGTAAAAACTTACAGTACAGGCTTCTATTTATTATACAATAAAAGTGTCAAAATTATCCTTCTTACGATAGTTCCAAAGGCTATGTTTCCATACTACCCTCCCCATTATACCAATTTTATGCTTACGTCTAGTATACTATCTTAGATACTTATATCTTCATTCTCTTAGTTGATGTACACAGAGTAGCTTAATCAGGTTTTTATTATGAAGGCCATCTCGATATCAGGTATTTGACATAAAACTGTGAACTTATGTTTCGCGCTAGTTGATACTTGTTAACAAGTAGTACCTGCAATCCTGAACTGGTGCCCAGTTTCGTAATATGAGAAGTTGCTATTGAACTATTTGGACTTCTTCTGATATCCTATAAGACTGAGATATTTACGCTGATTGGTCAATGATTTATAGCAATTGCCACGTCAGTTCCCTCAAAATATCCAGCAGTTTACGCCGACTAGTTCTAACTGAGAATAAAACCTAGGTTTATGGTTTCCTGTCCATTCGTGAAGACTAGTGGTCAGAATTCAACTTGATTAATAGGATTTGATCAGTATTATGATCATAATTGATTGATCATTGGGTGGTGATCAATGCCATGCGTGTCTAGTCTTTATTAGTGCAGATCGAATGGTATCGACCATGTTGCAATATGGCCACCAGTTTAAGTGACTCGACACTGCAGATACTATTGTGAGATTAGATGGTGGTTGGAGGTAGTCGACAGGGTCCAAGTAGCACTAAACCCGGCTCCAGGGTTTCATAGTTAATGTGAAATTAAATTAAAGTCACACCTTTCCTTGATGTGCTTATATTTACTAGTGAGTTTTGCTAATGACAAGTGTCAAATAGTTCATAACTTTCCATTCTGTATTAATAGTGTTATTCTTTTTGGTGTGATGCTTTATTTAGGCGTTTTGGACAGATTATCGGACTAAGAATTTCCATATCTTTTTCGCTGCCGCTATACTTTTGACTCAAAGAGATAATATCATGAATAGAAAATATGATGCAAACAGTATATTAAAGGTTAGTTTATTTTATAATAATAAATCGTCAGAAATTATTACATAGTAAAAGAGTTGACGTAGTTAGAAAAACATTCGACTTGTTGATTCCGTAAAGATATATAAATGCAGCATAGAAGTATAAAATATTACGTTGCATACAATGCTCAAATTACGTATATATATATATATATATATATATATATATATATATATATATATATATATATATATATATATATATATATACGTAATTTAAGCATTGTATACAACGTAATATTTTATACTTCTATGCTGCATTTATATATCTTTACGGAATCAACAAGTCGAATGTTTTTCTAACTACGTCAACTCTTTTACTATGTAATAATTTCTGACGATTTATTATTATAAAATAAACTAACCTTTAATATACTGTTTGCATCATATTTTCTATTCATGATATTATCTCTTTGAGTCAAAAGTATAGCGGCAGCGAAAAAGATATGGAAATTCTTAGTCCGATAATCTGTCCAAAACGCCTAAATAAAGCATCACACCAAAAAGAATAACACTATTAATACAGAATGGAAAGTTATGAACTATTTGACACTTGTCATTAGCAAAACTCACTAGTAAATATAAGCACATCAAGGAAAGGTGTGACTTTAATTTAATTTCACATTAACTATGAAACCCTGGAGCCGGGTTTAGTGCTACTTGGACCCTGTCGACTACCTCCAACCACCATCTAATCTCACAATAGTATCTGCAGTGTCGAGTCACTTAAACTGGTGGCCATATTGCAACATGGTCGATACCATTCGATCTGCACTAATAAAGACTAGACACGCATGGCATTGATCACCACCCAATGATCAATCAATTATGATCATAATACTGATCAAATCCTATTAATCAAGTTGAATTCTGACCACTAGTCTTCACGAATGGACAGGAAACCATAAACCTAGGTTTTATTCTCAGTTAGAACTAGTCGGCGTAAACTGCTGGATATTTTGAGGGAACTGACGTGGCAATTGCTATAAATCATTGACCAATCAGCGTAAATATCTCAGTCTTATAGGATATCAGAAGAAGTCCAAATAGTTCAATAGCAACTTCTCATATTACGAAACTGGGCACCAGTTCAGGATTGCAGGTACTACTTGTTAACAAGTATCAACTAGCGCGAAACATAAGTTCACAGTTTTATGTCAAATACCTGATATCGAGATGGCCTTCATAATAAAAACCTGATTAAGCTACTCTGTGTACATCAACTAAGAGAATGAAGATATAAGTATCTAAGATAGTATACTAGACGTAAGCATAAAATTGGTATAATGGGGAGGGTAGTATGGAAACATAGCCTTTGGAACTATCGTAAGAAGGATAATTTTGACACTTTTATTGTATAATAAATAGAAGCCTGTACTGTAAGTTTTTACCCATAAATTGCTGTCATATACGTTATCGTTCCAGATTTAACACTAATTAATTATTTTCTTATTACTCCGATTTATAAGCAAACAGTGTAATTACCTAATTGTGTTGCTGTGTCGTCAGGTATATTGTATAGATTCTGAATCATGATAGAATGAATTACAATAGAAGAGTGAACTGCCTCTTATCTACGTCTTCTGATTAGACACTAGGTTAGAAGGAGTTCGAAGAGTAGTAAGCTTTAAGGTCTCGGTTTTCGTTAATTGGTAAACAGTTCACCGATCTTACTGGCAATATAAGCGAAATAATCAATAGTCGAAATAGAGGAAGAGAGAGAGGATACAGCTGCTCGGTTATTATTACAACTTGGTCACACGAGACATCCACTTGCTTGTATTTTCCGTTATGTCAAAAATATCATCAAGGTCTTTCATATTTTATTGGTTCCATTTTTTTCGGTTCTCCACAGCCATTGATAGGTTTACATTTTTAGATGTTTCAGTTGATTTCCTCTATCTGTGTTACTATAAAGTATGGGCAACACAAGCTAACGCAAAATTTTCTTAAAAACCTACGACATTTAGCATGTCATATTAAATGAAAAGAGCTTAATAAAATTACAAACATGTGAGGATATAAAGAGAAATAACAAATAACTAATAAGTGATTGTAGGTGGTATATCCCACCTGTAGCTCATCTACGGCTACTGCCAGTCCCAAGCTCGGGTAAAGGAGGGTTGGCCATGGGGTCGGCAACCCAACCCCGTAGAAAAAAACCTTGCTAAAAAAACGCTAACCAAATTGTAGGTGGTTATATACCAATTAAAATAGATTTCAGAACACTGAGTGAGGTAAATAAACAGCTTTTAATAAATAATATAATCATCAATAACAAATGAAGAGTTACAGAAATAGCGAAACGTTTTCAAAATTATTAGTGTATAATTTAGGTAATTGCAAGAAAAATAACCAGTTTAGAAAATTAACAAAAAAGAAGCGAACAACCTATACATGTATTTGAAGAAACTATTGAATTAAAAAAATTAAAACAATTATTAACATGATTAATTTAACATACCTCCCATAAAGTCATAGTATCTTTGTATGAGAATTCTCGTTTGAAATGAATTAACAACCAGCGGAAGCAAAACGGCATTTCTTTGGCACTTTTCGATTCTGTAAACATTTATTGTAGAATTTTTAGTAAAATAAAATTCATAAGATGGAAATTGGATTACCAGTTTAAATAAATGAACAAAATCAATGTATACAAACAATACAAAATTTTATGTGATATTAGATGATAGTATCCTTCCGAACATCTTCAACGTAAGTTTTCTATCTACTAGACGAAAATTCAGAATTACTTAGAACGAGATTTAATTTAACAACTAGAAGCGGATTACATGTGCTTATAAAATTGTGTTAACTTTGATAAGTTATTGATTCATGGAATGCCAGCTATAATACATTAAAGTCAGTAGCAAACTGCTAACTAGCGCTACAATGTGTAATCACAACGATTTCTAGACACGTACTGACAATAAGATCAAGAATTATTGTTCTCCTACGTTTTACTACAAGCAAAAAATTGATCTTCGAAGGCTTGCTTATATTGGTGAAATCAAGTATTGAAATTCACTTCGATTAAATGTGGTTACGGGTTTACATTAACGAAGATAATTATACGTATGTTATGCTAACAGCTAAATAGATTTACAATAAACACAAACATTTAGATATAGTGAATAAACTCACGTTTGCAGAACAATAAAGGTAATAGCGCGTTAAACTATCAACTGTGCGTTAGATTTCTTGGAGATTCACAAGAAAGAAAACTAAACATTTTTAAAAACACAATCTCAAACTAACACTATGAGGAACTCTTGAAAAGACCAGCTCCACTGAATCAACCGAACATCAATTAGAGCGCACAGACCTTTGAACAGGTATCACACCACCAAGTATCGAAGAAATCAGGATGACCATCACGTAAATCAAGAGAGAGAGAAAGCAGTACGACCTGACAATATACAAACAAAAGCATTGAAGTCAGACGTAGAAGCAACTGCAAACATGCTCCACATTTCATTAAGGAATATTTGGGGGGAAGAAAAAGTGCCAACTACAGACTGAAAAGAACGGCACTTCATCAAGATACCAAAGAAAAGAGATCTGAGCAAGTGTGAGGACTGTCAATACCAAGGAAGGTTTTCAACACAGTGTTGCTGAACCGGATGAAAGACTCAGTAGACGCCCAACTTCGATATCAACAGCTTGGATCCCGTAGGATCGGTCAAGCACAGACCAAATCAAGGCGCTAAGGATAATTGTTGAACAATCAGTTAGGTGGAAATCGACACTATACATCAACTTCCTTGATTATGAGAAAGCATTTGATAGTATGGATAGGAGAATTTTATGGAAACTTCTATGACACTATGGAGTACTCGAGAAAATCGTCAGAATCATCCGGAATTCATACGACGGATTACAGTGAAGAGTCTTACATAGAGGACAGCTGACAGATGCATTCCAAGTTAGGATCGAAGTCAGACAAGGCTGCTTACTCTCCCCCTTTCTCTTCTTTCTGGTGGTCAACTAGATGATTTGGACTTCGCAGGTGACCTAATTGTTCTACCCCATATACACGAACAAACGCAGTGGAAGACAACTAATGTAGCAGCAGTCTCTGCATCAGTAGGCCTCAACAAACACAATGGAAATAGCGACATCCCCAGATACATCACGGAGAACACTAATTCAATCACACTTGATGGAGGAACTCTGAAGGAGGTGGAAACTCTCACATACCTGAGCAGCATCATCGATGAACAAGGAGGATCCGATGAAGTCGTAGACAAGGATTGGCAAAGTAAGACCGGCATTCCTAAATCTGAGGAACGTATGGAACTCAAAAAAACAACTGTCAACCAACATCAAAGTCAGAATCTTCAAAACAAACGTCAAGACAGTTCTACTGTATGGGGCTGAAACCTGGAGAACTACCACAACCATCATCAAAAAGGTATAAGAATTTATAAACAAAGGTCTACATAAGATACTTAATGTCCGTCGGTCGGATACCATCAGCAACAGACTACTGAGAGAGAGAGAACAAACCAACTTCCAACTGAAGAGGAAAAGACTTTGGGAGTGGATAGGACAAACATCACGGAAATCACCAAACTGCATCACGAGACAAGCGTTAACTTGGGATCCTGAAGGGAAATGGAAAAGAAGAAAGCCGAAGAACACACTGTGTCGGGAATCGGAAGCAAACATGAAAAGGATGAATGACAACTGGAAAGGATTGTCCAGAACAGAGTTCGATGGAGAATTTTGGTGGGTGGCCTATTTTCCCCGACGAGCGGTGACAGGTGTAAGTTAGTAGACACCCAAACTGAAAATTAACAGATGTGGTCGATTCCGTAGACTTAACATTTAGGAAGAAAGAGAGAAAACAGTTCATAGAGAATACTTATAGTTAAGGAAATCGGAATGACTAATGTTTAGGATATATGTGTCTTTGAGGTATTGCTAGTGTTTATTGAAACCAAAAACTGAGGAATGCGGAGATTAGGAGTAGGATACTGGGTAAATATGCTATATCATTTGATGAGGTTTTTATCGACTGAGGTAGTTGGGAGAAGTATTATGTATACTTAATCACTGATTACGTACACTAGTGATAATAGCTATTATGGGAGTAGGTTGGGAAAATGGTAGAGGCGGCCAAACTGAAAAGTGACATATGTCCATGAAGCCATTGGCTGTTAAAGTGAGGTGTTATGGTAGATGCAGATAACCTGGTCAAAGTCAGCACGATAATCTTATTTAGTGGTTAAAAACATTAGATGGTATGCCATAGAAGTGATCTGAATGGTGCAGTTATATTTATTGTGTGTTTTTCCTCAGATACTAAGTTTTTCTTTATTTTAAATTTTACTATTCCACGAATTCGCATTTTCACGAACCGTATTTTCTATGCTTAATCTCTTCAATTACCGCCAATACTGTTACTGCTCTAGATTGCAGTTGCGTTATTAGAGTGTGGCAACTTGAACCAATGTACATGCATGCCAGCTTTCACGTTATGTATGACTGACTGACTGTCTAGGATGTTCGATATTCTTAGATAATAGAACAAAAAAATCACCCAGTTGTTGTTATAAAGTCTAGTAAGAGAAGAAAATCATACAAAACATTATTCTATGGATATTTCAGGGAGGTTTACGAATTACTGATAGAGTTACATATACCTATCAAAAATGCGATAGGTATGTGAGGGTATACAGTCAGTAGATAATTACAAACTAAAGATAGATACAGATTGTTTTTTTAAATTTTTGATTGTATATATTATTCTATTTATAACTTATATTTCCTGGAATATTTTATCCTGATGTTAATAAATTTATCATTTATTTAATAAAAATTACCAAGATATTCACTAAAAGTTGGATCAAATATTTCAATCAGTGAAAATAATTGATTAAATTGTTCTCTGACTGCATTGAGTTCACCATTGAAATTAGATTCCTATAATAAAGAAACATAATTTTCTAATAGAATATATATATCGTAATTTTATCATCACATATTTGATAAGTAAACACTCAACATATTAATAATAATAAATGAATAAAATGTTCAAGAACAAATATTAGACTATCATCTAATAGAAAACTCTCTCTTGCTTGAAGATAGATAGCTAGTTATAACTATTAAAAATATTTATAAGATTTTTTTATCAAATAATTATAGTTTGATCATATATTAAACAGAAGTATGTTGCTATACTCTATAACTGATTCGGAGCACTTCTTACTGTAACAACGTTTATGGCGCAGTTGCATCCACTGTTTGTGTTCTCCTAAATTCTAATCTTTTTAATTCTTCATGTACCTTTTTTATCTTTTCAAATTTATTTCACTGGATTATACTCCTTGAATAACATCTTCAAGCCCTAGTATTTCCGATTACTGCTTATACTCTTACTACCTCGTCAATTAAGAGATTTGAATCGACAATTGTATCTCTGTGCTAATGTGGTATGGAAACTCGAAGTTCTACGTTGTCACTGACTGAACAACGTTTATAGCACTGAATAACATTATTGTTATTATTATCATCATTATTATTAACATACAAATGAGCCAAACAAAGGTAAATTTCTTCTACAAATTAAGCTAATATGACAAGGGTAGAGGCGAAGTAAAATTACAAAAAAAAACAATCGATAAATAAATGAACAAAAAATGTGGAAATATGAAATGTTCATTATTTTTTGGTTTATTTGTTTGATATTGTAATATGTGCAAAAATCAAGAAACTCTTATTATTACTATTATTATTTAAACACATAAACATTGGTACAAGGAGGCACCAAATACATATGCGCCACATAAATCATTAGATTTGCGTGAGGGGCTGAGACCGAAGTAGTTGATTTTTTAAGGGGCCACGCCCGGAGACTCCGACCTAAAGGTCTTACCCACAATACAGTGGAGCAACGTCAGGAGATACAGTCCCTTGGTAACCGGTCACCAACAATTTGTTCATACGCCATTTGTTTCCTTAGGGTTCTAGAGCCCATGCGCACCATTAGTTTGGAATCAGGGTTTTCCAACTTCTCTATGTGGATCGTCCTCAATTTCGTAAACAACAGCCCCACCGCGAGAAGGCAGTGGATAGGACTTCCCTGACAGTGGTTGTATGCACGTAGCCGTGTGAGAGCATTTATAGAGGAAGAGCTGACTCTCTCAATTCTCGGCTGTACCAGGGCCATAAGGCTTAGTAGAAGATGCCTATTGCTAGTGTATACACAAGGCTACTACCAACACTTAATTTACATTACGTCACACTCTTCTGTTTTCAGTGATTTTCTTTATTTCGTCTATTTTGTAGCACACTCGAAATCTCTATTCGAATCGGCCAAAAACTAGATTTTTCGCAAGTCAGCATTTCGAAATTTTTTATTTCCAGCTGCAAAATTAATTTAGACATTATGAATCTTACATACTGAATGGTTGATTCTCGAAGACACTCAAAAAGTCTGTAAATATTCATGCTTTTCGATGTATCAGAGTCAGTTGTGGCGGGAATAAATAAATATTTGAACTGATCGTTTGTTTTTGCATTAGTTAGATAAAAATCTAAGCTTTTGGATAATGCGATGAGAAGACGAAGGTTATCAGGATTATGTGATGTATTTGCGTAGTGCATTTTGAACAACCCGATCACAGCTATACCTGTCAAGACAATATATACGAAAAATAAAAGTTGAAGTAGATTGAAATCCTCTATATGTGTTCAAAAACAATTTGTTCTTACTCTTAACCTATATCACTCATATATTATCCAGCGTCGTTTTTCACACTGTTTTTGTGTACTTTATTATTATCTTTGCTTCCTTTACCTTTTAATTTGTCTAATTGACCTTTCATTGTTCATACATAGTATTTTAACAATTAAATGTGTAGTCAGACTGTTCGAAATACATTGGGCAAATATATCACATAATTCTGATAACCTGCGTCTTCTCATCGTATTATCCAAACCTATCAAAAAAACTAATTGTTTCAAATTTTTGAAAATCTTAGCATTAAAAAAATTCGCGCTTTCCTAATGCTTCTTAACGAATCACCAGGCTTAACATACAACAAAGTTGAACGGATATATAAACATTGATGTACGTTTATAATTCTGGATCATTTATATGTTAACTTAAGCTCAAATTATGTAAAGAACGAGTGCGTAATATAACACACATTTTTCAGTTATAAATTTTGATGAGGGTGAAATGGTTTTAAACGCCTTTATATGTATATATATATATATGAAAAACTTACTAGTCTATTCATTAAACCAACAAAACACCAAAAAGAATCTTCTTCATCTTTAATAACATAAAGTATTAATGCGAGTAAATCATTCATTCCTTGGAAGTAACCTGAAGCATAAACATACAAAAAACAAATATGATTAAAATTGGTGGTCATGAGAACAGATTCAAAATTTTTAACAAGAATCAAGACGAGTGTTTTAGATTATTGTTAAAACGGCATCTCTTAGAAATATCCAAGAAAAAAAACTGTATACATTTTCATCATCAAATTTACACGATTTTTAATTGTAAGAATGCATCTTTAAAAGAATTGAGGATACTTATAATTATTGTTCCTTTTCATTTTAGTCAGCAAGTGATATTTTAAAAATTATTTCTAATGAGAATACAAAATGAATTGTCGGAGCGATTTTCTCGAAACTGTAATCTATTCCATCTCATTAATAAGTCGCTTGATTCTATTTACACTTTTGTTTGGTTGACGGAAATCAAGAGATTAGGGAAGTGTGACCAAAGAAGTAGGTCATTAGAATAAAACCAACTATTGAAAAAAACAAAGTAATCATGCAAATAAACAATTAATCAATGAGCGGTCTAGATATCGGTTGATGACTGAATGTAATCGGTAGGAAGCCCTATGTTTCATTAGGAAGAATTATTTGCAATCACAAGATAACTAATGTTGTTAGAGGATCTGAACTCTCATCATTTTCTGGTGTCGTAATCAAAGGCATTACCACTGAAATATTCTGGTTGTGATTGACATACAGTAAGATCGAGATATTTACATCAATCAGACATTGAGTAGCAGTTGTCTAATTCAATGTTTATAAAATTCGTTCAAACTCTTTAACTAATAATTTCCAACCGACTATCTGCTAATTCACTTTGCTCATTCAACTTCAAACAAAAATGAACAGTGAGTTGAAGTCGCTTTATTTAGTTGTAAAAGTTTCTCGAGATAAAAATTAATTAATATCAAATACTGGACAATATTATATTAGTTGAAATCATGAGTCAATTGAAGTTAGACCACCATAGAAAACTTGGAAGCACTGGACGACCGTTTCGTCCTAATATGGGACTCCTCAGCGTTGTGCATCCACGATTCCATGGTGGTCTAGCTTCAATGGACTCATGATTTTAACTATTGAAATTACTAAAATCTCCACAAAACCCGTTCTGATAATGATACATTAGTTAATGACTGATTAATATAGACCTAGATAATATATGCAGTAATTCAGTTGTGTCATTTAATGGCTTTAAAGGTTTGTACAATATCTCTACAACAACTGAATTGGATGTGTGCAGTTTTAAGGAAAGCAATGTCGAGAATAGTAAAATATATGTTCAAGACAGTTAATCCACTAAGCTACTAATGATATAGATTGAAAAAAGGAAAAAACAGTCTGTGGAGGTGTACAGAATTTGGCATAATTAGCAAGATCATAGATTAACATAAGCAAATATGACTTATTTTGCGAAAATATGATTTGTTAAGTTACATTGTATGTTATTTTTTGCATACTTGTTTATCATTCTAGAGTGGATAACTATATTTCGTTTTGTCTTAGGAGTGGAGCTCGAATTAAGAAGAATTGAATGCTAATTTACGCACTGATCATTATTTGAAGTTTTGCTGATTGTGAACGATTTGTAGACAAAAAATTACAGAGTAGAGAAGCAATAACTGTTCGAACTGTTTTCTTGTAAAATCGCTACAATTATAAATGGCAGGATTTCGTAATTTTATATGTTTAATGAAGTGAAAATATACTTTACTTAAAAAACAATGATTGAAAGTTTGACATTGATGACTTCAAATATCTATTCTAATATCCTGGAGACGCTGATATATCCATAAGTCCTAATAAACGACCTACAAATCAGCGTGAAATCGATACCTTTCTCAATCAGTTAGTAACTTCGACATAATCACTTACAAACTAGATAGTCTGTATTTAATACAATTAATCACAGAATAATAAATCAGTGAATATAAACAGTCAATTTCAAGTTATGTAATTAGCTCTTACCGAAATCCATATTATATATAGTATACGTGATAAGTATATCTGAAAGACGTGTCAAATTTCCATGACTATCATCTGAGTAAAAATCAGTTTTTCGATCAGTACGTGGAACGTCTTTATCTAAGTATGTTGGTGTATAACAAAACAAAAAGAATATGTATCAGTTAAGTGTCGAGAAAAACGAAGTATATTATACACAAAAAAAGAACAAATGCAGTCAACAATAAATACCAAAACATATTTAAAAGAATTGTTCTTAATAATCACTTGAAGTGGTTTTACAATACTTAAATAAGTAAATTAACAATATGCATGTAATAAACTGTATACAAATAAACACTACGTAAACAAAAGTGAGATTCAACAAAACCACTCGAGTACAGTTGGAGGGTAAAATTAAAGAAAAGTTGAAGGATATTGTTGACCGGAAATGGAATATTTTGAAATTAACTCAATTGAATAAGCAAATATCAGAAATATAAGCCCAGTTAAAGACACAAGTAAGAACTCTGTCCAAACTCTTAAAGAGAAATCAACACAATAAAGGTCAGATGTCTATGGGATGACATGTGAAGAGTCAGGCATGAAATTAATAGATAAAAGCTTTGTTTGTAAAAAAACATACTAAACCTAATTCTAACATAATATATACTTTAATTGACAAAAGATTACAATGATCTTTCCTTGAACTTATTTGAAATATCTGATAAGTCCTTTAATTGAACGCTGAATTCCGTTCCTAAGCTCTTCTAGTAACCCCCAGACTAGATCTATACAGCGACTTGAACACGAGAGAAAAGGCGCGAAGTATGGAAGAAACGCTTTACTCTAAAGGTTTGTGTATGTACAGAAAATCTAGGGTTTTTATAGTATTTTTAGATGGCTTTGGGTTTCCGGAAAATTCTGGACGGCTGCTAGTAGCAGTATAGGTAACCATCTAACCAGAAACTCGACAAGTGACTTTTTACTTTCTAGATGTTTCTAGCAAAACGTCTAGTAGGTGCTGATTGGATAAGATACTTCTCAATGTTTTCAGACACCTTTTTGGATTTTTTCGAGTTTTTTGGATCGCCCTAACAATATCGTAGTAGGCATAGATCACGTTACGATAGCAGAATCATGCCCAATAGTGTTTTAAATTATTCGGAAATCTCAAACAACAAAAGGAAATTGCGTAATGATCTAACGGTTAGTGAGAAATATCAAGATAAGGACATTTATGAAAGTAAAAAAAGAATAGAATACATGTCGAGACCATAATAAAATGAGAGGTTGAACATATTGCTTTTGAACAGAGGGTTTAGGCATGAATTGATAGATTGAGTATGAGATAAGTAAGCTTTTAGTTTGTACTCCCTGTAGTCGTATATATGACATTGGAAAAGGATTCTTCTGCAGTGACATGATCAGAATTTACGAAATGTCCTTGAATTGAACCGCTAGTTGACTTCCGTGATCCTTTTGAAAGCCACGCGGGGTAATGATCACAAATTCATTTCTAAAGAGCTACATTTGTTTAAAAAGAGCAAGTATACTTAAAGATGAACGTTGATGTGGCCTAAAGCAGGGGCTTGTCCTTCATACACCCACTAAAATCCGAATAAAGTAATTTATTTTTCCGTAACAATTGATTATGTTTACCGCACACACCCCCAACCAGACATTCATCCAGTCCAATAGTCTACATCTTGATTTTTATATACCTTGCTTTCTCTAAACTTACTTTTAAAACAGCCAGCATTGCTCATACAGATAAGTAGGCAGCGAATAGGTATATGTACTACGTGCCTCAAGCAAGTCAGTCAACGAAAATTCTCAACTTCGTCAACCGGTGTAGCATCTTCGTTTAGTAAACTTAAGTTGGGCAGTGCTCACTACGTTGGTTTATCAAAAACTTGCAATGTTTCGAAGAAATCTATGATAAAATGCTTAGAGACCACCCAAGTTGTGTAAGAGCCGTAAACTAATACCAAGAGAAAAGATTGGAAGGAATTAGGACTGTTGTGCAGTATACTTGCCCTTTAGTTGGTAGGGGGAAATCTCATCTACGCCAAATCTGACAAGTTGGTAGAAACCTAGTGAGATTTCTATATCCATACAGAGATTTCGTCAGACATCAACTAACCAGGGCTGGTACGACTCCAAAGATCAGTGTATTAGTCATCGCACTGATCCATTTCACTTCCTATGATTAGTTTAGGCTTTAAAGCAGATCAGTTCTGAGGTAACACTGCATTTAGAAGTGAAACATACTCTAATTATGCTTGGATTAATACTAAGCGCGTTTGAACTTAACTAAAGCATATATTTGTTATTTCATAATCATGAAAATACATTATGACAGTTTATGAAATTCATAAGAACTATTCGGACGCACAGACGTCTGAGGAATATCGTCCTATCGATGGCGATCGAATCAGGTTTTAATGAATTGGCTTCCGATTGCTTTCAACTACCCAGTCTCAACGAGATACCATCCTTGTTTTTATTTAAAATATTTGATAGATGATCAAAATCTCAGCCTGAATTCTTGCAAATGGTCTTAGATTTTCGCCAGGTAACGGACCATCTACAACACATTTATTTGCATGCCTATTAAAACTACATTATTATAATGATTAAGAATTGAATCAGCAGTTGAAGAGAAGTGACGTATTCGATTCATTCAACAACCAACAAAGAATTTTGTGTAGGCAGTTTTGTTTACTGAAAAGGTATCAATCAAAGGTAATATACCCACTGGCGATCAGCTGATTTCAATGATTTAATCTTTTTAAATTCATATTTTTATCATTATAATAAAGATACTAATTAGAAAAGAATATTTCTGATCACAGACCCATACTTTTTAATAATTAATTTTCTCCAAGGGAAGCGAAACATTTGCTTACTTGATAAACATTGCAATCGGAAAATGAAGTTATTAGTAATCCCTGTTACGTTATTTAGATGAACGAAAGAAAATAACAATAAAGGACTTACCAATAAAACATTTACTACCACGAAACAAGGAAAACCTAGCTCCCCCATCAGGGGACATTGACTCCAAAAACGTCTTCAAGATGTGGTATTCACGACTGAAAAAATAGAAACGTAAAACGCTGGAGTGTGGTTTATTGTATAATGAAGTAAGGATTCAAGAGGAATATAGTTATACGAAAGAAACATTTAGAGTTAAACTCACTGAGGAATAACCATAATTATAAGACAAAAAATAAGGAAATAAGTTATATATATATAACTTGAAAGTTAACAATAACAATTTCCAGATGCTTTGAGTCATATATTTAAAGATTTCTTTTCTTATTATAATTTTATTTTGTAAATAAATGCTTATTAGTTGATGAAGCCTTCAACGCGACGCATTACAGTAAGAATATACGTGAAAGAACTTTTGGTGAATAAGTATTCATGGTTTTTGAAGTTGGGCAGTGACTAGTAGTGAAATATAGAATATATGTTTCATTCTATTTGAAACTCGGATACTTAAATTGAACTATTAATGTTCACACAGACTCGAAACCATTACTTTTTACTTTACCACTGAGGTATAGGGAGAGAGTGGTCAATCGCGGTTCTTGACATCAATAATGGGAAGACAAACCTCACTATGATCTGAATCTTCTTAATTGTTTGTATTTTACGTAATTTTAATTTGAAGGCTATACGTTGATATATTTACAAGGTGAGATGAGTACGAATATTAATACTGTTTGGTCCTAAAGATTTTATGAAGATATTACTGTGGGGTTATATATATTGCCTGTTTTCTGACTGAATCTTCTTATTGATCTTTTCCTACCATATTCGGTTGGCAACGAAACAGAATTTTGTATTCATAAATAATGATGTAAATCTCTTGTCAATACGTGCATATATTTTAGTCCTACAAGAAATTACTCACTTAATTTACATGATAAAATACTTTTGATATTATTTAAAACGAGCAAACCTTTTTTCAACTTTTAATCTTTCATTTTCTTCTGCTGTATAAGTCCATTGATAATAACCGAGTAAATACTTCCATACTATTGGTTTTAAATCATTTTCTATACCCTGCATGAAGTAATAATAACAATGGTAATTATGCGAAACAAGAAGAAGGAAGATGACGATAAATATACCTTATAAAGTAGAAAAAATAATCATGGTCGCTTTAGTTGATACCCATTTATTGTTAAACACAGTATTACATAATTAGTTTAGGTGGTTGAGACACGTAATAAGTATGCCCAACCATTGTCTACCTCGATCAGTGATGACGGTTGGTATAAGAGTAAGCTGGAAGAAAGCTAGGCGCAATGTTTCATAAACATTGTCAAAACGGTAGTAAAAAAATACGTAAATTCACTAGGCATTAAAATCAAATTATTTTATTTACTTTATAGGACTTGATGGACTTGTAAGATTTGAACAAATTATGAAAATTACGGTACTCATAGTGGGTAAAATCATAATAGCAGTTCTCAACTAATGATGAAAATCTGAAGTTTACTAAGTTTTGACGATTAAAAAAATTGTTAAACAATAGATTGATGGGTTTTAATATGATATCTTGGACTATGTAACCACATTTGTTTTTGTTTTCAGCACTTATCTGGGCTGAGCCGTATTTTAATTGTCCGATCAGTACACAGAAGAAATTCAAGTGAGACATAAATATGATTCTTACTAAGTATTACTTTTTAACTGTTAAAATATTCTTCTCTTCTAAACCAATTTTAGACAAACCACTAAACATCATGATCGACATTAGTGATCCGGTTATAGATATGATAGCTATCAGGACACATCAACAACAATAAAATCCAGTCTTAATGGTCTAAGAGTAGTTTTCTTTCTTTATTCCTCTAATCTTTTCACATTTTTTTACTTGTTGGTACTTCGACGAATTTAAATAATGGTGTTCCCTTACAATGAAATGTAAGAACTAGTGGTTTGTAATTTAGCAGTAACCAAGTTTTATTAGATAATACAAGTTTTTGGTACGTTCACGGTATTTTCCTAGTAGATAAATGTATTTTTGAATACGTTCTTGTAAAAATATCCATGATGTGCGTTGAGAAGCATGGGGAGATCTCCGGGAAATCTCTAGAGCTATACTTAAATTCAGCCTTATTTACTTTCGACGGGATGTAATGCAAACAAAAAGAGTGACAATAGGATCCCCTTGCTAACCTGACTATGTTTCATATAGAATCATATATTTTCGCCAATGACATTAGATCACGAATTTGGTCCAGATATGGGGACGATACTTTTGTCGCTATGAAAAAGACTCTCGAACGTTTTCTAAACTGATCAATATACTCTCATCCCATACTGAATTCCCATACAAAAATGAAAATGAATACGATGAGTTATCATTTTTAAATTGTAGTTTAAAGAAATCTAATTGAAGCTGTAAATCTAACTATCTAAGGGAAACCAACACACACTAATCATTATGTTGCCTTCAACTCAGTACAAAAATCTCTTTTGAAGAGCAACCAAGAATATGACATCTGAAAAGGCTAGGCAAAAAGAACAGAAACACAGTCAAGATCTTATAATTTTCTTATGAATATTAATAAAAATATATCAGGAGACGATTTATTATTAAGAAGTAGTTTAAATGAAATAATATGGTTTGGTGCATTATTTTTACCATACCGCCAAAGTACAACAGAAGATCGCTAAAGAATCTTAACATAGAATTCAAGCACACTACTAAACAACTAACACCCTTCGAAGTTGAGATGTTTGAGATTTGTAGCTCAAGTGGATGATTTTGGTGGAGTTTTGTTCACTAAGCTAGATGGTTTAGTCGTGGAGCTTTCATCGTTCTTCTGAAAGACATCATTAGCACAAACGTCTACCTAAAGTTTTCTTCAATAACCATCAAATCGATATTGAAAATATCAAAGTAATTTAAAAACGTTTTTCCAACTACAAAGAAGGGAGTGTAGCTGAAGATTATCATATACTGCTAAATCTTATTGCCCTCAGTAGAAAAGAAGGCCTTACAATCCATACGATTTGAACCATATAACCAAGTTGCCATATCTAATTCTACTCACATTTCACACCATTATCACACATACAAATACAACTTTTCAGATTAAAAATGTCACCGTTTTCATGCCCATCCAATTTATCCTAGTTCATGATATCTAATGATTCATAAATAATGTCTCGTAGTGTTGTTTTCGCTGCTGAGAAAAATTTGAAGTTATAGGAAATCGGAGAGAAAGAAATAATCCCACTAAACATGGTGAAATGAAGGGATGTATGTAATGT